AAGTTGGTATAGGAATAATAATTTGTTTTGGGTTTTTGTTTACGTTTGTCTACAATTTATTTAAACATCAGCTGTTGGAATAAAAATTAAGTTATTGGTTCTACAGTATCCAATAATCAATGGTTTTATCGGTTCTATTAAAGGAGGGTTGTTAAAATAGTTCAACATTTTTAACAATCTAACAAAAAATATGGTGTTTTTTGGATTTCAGAAAGTAGTTCGCCTATTTGTGCGAAGGTAATCGATTTCACACAAGTTTGCAATGGTCTAGTTACATTAGTCGTGGTTATATACATGGCGCCTACTGTTGCCCTGCTGGCGGAATAGGGCCGATTTTATCGCTTGCGGCAACAATATTACAGCGTAGTCATTGAACCACACTCGCGCGATCCACTCACTAAATCCCTAAACCCTTTTAAAAAACCCCATCCCCTGATGGATGGGTTTAATATTGGTTCCTAACATTCTTCCTTTGTGGCATTTTAGAAGAAAAAAAAATGGTTTACAGATACTTTAACACACTTTGACATAGCACAATATAATGTGTTAATTACAAAACTTGTAGAAGAATACAAATTGTAAAAACACAGACATAAGAATATTCAACCAAATATCTAATACCATTCTGTTGGATAATATAAATACAAACACGCATTTCGTAATCTCCTAAAATTTACTTAATTATTCAATTATATTGTGTAGTTTTAGACATTCAAATTACATAAGAATCAACAACCATTGTAGTTGTAAAGGCACAAACATCCAATGCAAAACAAATATAAAAGACGCTCAATAAGTCTTGTTAATTACACTTTCAACGTTCCTTATTATTTTAAGAACCGGTATTTTGCTTATCACGATAGTCCTGTGAAATTATAGGGTCTATAGACTAACCAACACGACTAACTAAGGGTCAAAAACGATCAGAAGTTTTATTTTTGTTCTGAACACTAATATTGACAAAAAAGTAATCTTGAGTATCAATATTCTTATGTAAACTGTTTTAATGATAAGATCGTTTAGTAATTTGCTGACCAGGCTTCATGATGAATCAACCAACAAAGTCTTGTAAAACATATTATATTTTCAGCAATTTTCGTAGTATTGTAGTTGTACTACTATTAGTGGACGCTGAGGTGGTTGACCCACTGACGGTATAGACACGTATCATGAAGTAGTCAAGTGAGGAACCTCGATTACAAGACCCTCGATAACAAGTCTCCCTTTTTAACAAGAGTAATTCTTAAATTCCCTTGAGATTATTGTACTCGCAATCACATGTTTTTGTTAATCTCGATAAGAAAGTCAACCTTGATAACAAGTCTTTAATCCCCACGAGAGTCTTGTTATCGAGGTTCTGCTGCAGTCGTCCTTTCCCAACTGAATATTATAACCAAGTAGTGAAAACCCCCTCTTTATAAAATGTACCCTAAAATAATAGAAAGATACCGGGTTGTCATCTGCAAACTAAAACATTGGTAGAAATGAAAAGTCAATTTGATATTACATTTAGTAGTCATACAAGTAAATCATTGAAATATGACCCTGTAATAAATTTATCCTTCAAAATAACAAAAGCGGTTTGCGTACCCTTTACATTATGTACATTTGACACAAAATATGGTTTTTATAAACCAAGGGAATATTTTCAAGGAATCTTATTGCTAGGAAAATAATTATTCTTGAGATTCTTCATCCTGGTTAGCAGAGTTACCAAACAGTATGTGCATTTTCAATTGTATTTCTGTGGTCAGCTAAATTTCATAACTACTTCCGAATATATTTAAAACACCTTTTTTTAAATGCCACAACATTGTAACTATTTCTTTACGCCTTCATTCTGAGTAATGCAATAAGGAGACATTCCTGTAAACATGGCAACTTGCTGATGCTGTGCAGGCTGCCAAGCAAAAGTATTTCAATTGCAGAATTATTGTCTATAGTCCAGGCAAATTAGATCAAATATAGGGAGTGCTCCCCAAAAAATCGTCTAAAGCTGGAAAGTGTTTTAATACCTTTTGGGGGTCCCAAATAAGAGTCCTGTGAGTTTGCGACGGATTCTGACGTCTGCTTAAGTTTTGAGAGTCGAAAAACTATGAAAATTTTGCACTTTTTTCAGTTTTTCGCTTATAACTCCTAAATAACTAATCCTACGGAAAATGTTGTTCAAAGGTCTCTTTTAGTGCATTAAATTCTGCGTCGATTGGAGTTAAATACGCCAAAATCGGCCGAGCCGTTTAGCCGCTGTAGCTTTTTAAAGTTGGGTAATTTTCATCAACATGGCCAAAAAGTTGATTATTTGGCCAGTTTTCGGCTTACAACTCCTAATCGACGCTTGCTATACAAAAATGCACCTGTAGGTGGTGTGGAAAAGACAACATTCTGCGTAATATGTTTTTTTACTGATCAATAATGGCAATTGATTGCTACCTACTTTGTATGGTCACCATTTCATTGAAAAAAATATTAATATTAAATATTAAATTTAGTAAAATTTTCCAACTTTAACTTTAATATTTTTTTCAATGAAATGGCGACCATACAAAGTAGGTAGCAATCAATTACCATTATTGATTGTTAAAAAAAAACATATTACGCGGAGTTTTGTGTTTTCCTAACTAACTACAGGTGCATTTTTGTATAGCAAGCGTCGATTAGGAGTTGTAAGCCGAAAACTGGTCAAATAATAAACTTTTTGGCCATGTTGATAAAAATGGTCCAACTTTAAAAAGATACAGTGCCTAAACGACTCGGCCGATTTTGACGTATTTAACGCCAATCGACGCAGAATTTAATGCACTAAAAGAGACCTTTGAACAACATTTTCCGTAGGATTCGTTATTTAGGAGTTATAAGCTAAAAACTGAAAAAAGTGCAAAATTTTCATAGTTTTTCGACTCCCAAAACTTAAGCAGACGTCAGAATCCGTCGCAAACTCACAGGACTCTTATTTGGGACCCCCAAAAGGTATTAAAACACTTTCCAGCTTTAGACGATTTTTTGGGGAGCATATGTCTAATTTGCCTGGGCTACTACTAAATGTCTGCATATTTAAAGGGGTTAACAAATAACTTTACTCATAGAAAGGACAAGTATCACAGTTTAACAAATAATTTTTTAATCATTGCTTACAATGGATAGTTATCAGAGATAGCTTGCTGCTTTGAAATCGGTTATCTATTCCATGAGCAAATGTATTTAAACATTGTAACTAAAAATAAATAAATAATAAAAAAAAACATAAAACACATTATATAAATTTAGGCATTAATACGGCATAGTTGCAGGTTTCATAATAATGTTATGTATATTCCATATTTAACGGCTTATCAAATTTACCAAATCAAATGAGATTCAGATTTTCAACCTGTGTTTATAGTTCATTTGACATTCATGATTTTATTCGAATGAGAAGGAAATGAAAGAAAAATATGACCTACTTGGGTTTTCTATGTCACTCATTAATTATTAACATTTTTTAATTAACAACATGATTTTGATGCATTAGGGTTGGTTATTTGATTTTTGTGTTTCATAAAAGGATTATGAATTATGTGAGTATTTTTATAAACTAAGAATGTTTATTTATAAATATTTGTCAACAACTGGAAAATGAAAACTACCAAATTACCGGTAAATACAAAAAAAAAAATAGTACCTAACATAATGTAAAAAAACTCAATATTAGGGCAATGATTTTTCTGGAAGTTTCATTATAAAATTCAAATATCATTGCTCTAAATCTGGAAAAAAGGTTACAAGCCATTTCATCAAATTTTACAAATCCCATCTTTTTTTTAAAGTTTATGGTGCGAGCAGACATTCATCCAAGCAAAAAGGTAAATAAACGGTATCAGCATTCTGACACATACTTTCTCCCATAAGTTTGTCAACAACCTTCATCATGTGTAAGCGGTGAGAGTAAATATACGGAAATGGGATTTGTACAATTTTGATAAGAATTTAAAGGACTATTACATACTAAATTTTTATCAAAATTGTTCGGGCCATTTTTGTGAAAATCCGATTTTTTTGTTATTTTATGGGGTTTTTATGGGAAAACAACATAATTTACAATAACTTTTGAACCCTAATTTTTACAGAAATGGGATTTGTACCATTTTGTTCAGAGTATAAAGGACTATAACATACTAAATTTTTATGAAAATCGTTCGGGCCGTTTTTGGGAAAATCCTATTTTTCTGTTATTTATGGGGATTTATGGGAAAATCCCCATTAAAAATCAAAATTTCTAAAAAATTTAAAAAATTATCAAAATTGTAAGGATTATAACATACTATGTTAAATAAAAACAGGATTTTTTTTCTAAAATCCTATTTTTCGTTATTTTATGGGGTTTTTATGGGAAAATAACATAATTTACCATAACTTTCGAACCGTAATTTTTAGAGAAATGGGATTTGTACCATTTTGTTCAGAGTTTAAAGGGCTACAGCATACTAAATTTTTATCAAAATCGTTCAGGCCATTTTTGAGAAAATACGATTTTTCCGGTTTTTTATGGGTTTTTATGGGAAAATCCCCATTAAAAATCAAAATTTCAAAAAAATGAAAAAAACTCCTGGAGATACCATGGATTAGAACCAACATACCAAATTTCATCAAAATCGGACCACAGGTGTAGTCTCTAGCTCTGTACACATCCAGACACACGCACACACACACACACACACACACAGACATCACTTCGAAAACCACTTTTTTGGTTCCAGGGGACCCAAAACGAATATATCCACTCAAAACTCAAACTCGAAAATTTTGACGAAAACAATACTTTCTCCATATACTATGGTATAGGGGGAGAAAGTAAAAATACTTTGGCCACTTTAAAATGTCTTTCTAAAATTTAGACCATTATGCAATAACATCTCTTACCTATTGACCATTTCCTATTACACATTGGTTGGTATAAGCTTTGCTTCACAGATCTACTTTTTGTAACCCCCCACCTCTAGTTAATATTTTCCCTTCTGTTTCAGCATTCAACCTATGGGGTGTGTTGTTGTTCACCCTGGGAGGGCTGGCAGTGTGTATAGTTCTAGCAGCCTACTGTGACACCCTCAGACATGTGCTCAGATCAAGTCCACCTCTGGTCAAGACACATTCTGCCATAATTCTCAGTGTATATCCGGTAACTACCACATTAGAATAGATTTGTGCAATGGCAAGATGACTGAAGGATGATATCATAGACAAAAAGAATTAAATATAGACCGTCAGCTGTGCTGCGGTTACCATAAGTTCTGGCGCACACCGCTTGGAGCACCATAGTTACGGCGTACGCGCTACGTAAACTACAGCGGTGTGCGCGGAACCTTTGGTAACCATGGTAACCGCAGCACGGCTGACCGTCTATATTTAATTCTTTTTGTCTATGATGATATATGAATGCTTTGTTTATTGTTACTGGCTAGAATCAGCTGATTATTTATGTAGAACCAGTTTTTAAAGCTAGCTTATCAAAGACTGGTGGGTCCAGTTTTGAATTAGTGCTCATGGATGTCTTTCATGGAAGAGCTTTCAATAATTTTGAGGAGCATTCAAACATTACCTAGGCATGTCACCTAGTCGTTGTTTGGAATTAAATGGATAAAGGTACACAATTATTGTGGCCATGCTTACCACTTTTTGGGTAGTTACTCAAAAAGTAAATTCACATGTGGTAGAGGGGCGATAACATGCAACTATTGAGGATGAGAATTTATTTTGCCAGTAAATATATTTCATGCAAATACATTTTCATTAGGAACACATTTAAAATGAGGAATTTGTTTAAAAAAATTACATTCATTATAAAACACCCGACACAGGAATGATCTGCAGTATCCTGTACATAGAACAGCTCTTTAATACTTACTTTAATACTTTTCAATGAAATGGCGACCATACAAAGTAGGTATTTTAAGCCAAGTATGAATGGAGATGAGTGTAGGATTTGTGGCACGATCTTGTAGTCTTGTTAGTGACCATAAGGCCGACATATTCCTTAGACACAGCTGTTAATTAACAGCCCATACAGCTAATGGCAACTAAGGGACCTACAGTTTATAGTGGAATCCGAACCACATTTTTGCCTTGGTGTATATGAAGGGAAGCCATGGTACATGGGTGTGTAAATGTACAATAATCTCCCAGAACAAATTTAAGCTGAAGAACAAATTTTAATTTTCCTTACTCATTAGATGATTTTCTAAATTAACATTAGCATTAGATATCAACTGTGACTAGTAATAACATCATGTATTGATTAAAATACTAATTTACAGTAGAAACAAATTAAGTGTTTACTTTTTGTGTCAACAGGTGGTAGCACTGTCTACATACTGTGCCACTGTGGTGCCCCGTGCTCAACTATTAGCGGAGGCTGTCACACAGGGAGTGTTCATGGCGGGGATGTACCAGCTGTTTTGTCTGATGATAGCCTACTGCGGGGGCGAGGCTATGCTGATCAGCAGGGTCAAGCCTCTGTCTCTGAGCCCCAGAGTGGGTCCATGCTGTTGCTGGCCTTGTTGCGGGTTTCTACCTGTCATGCACATAGATAAGTATGTTTATATCAGTAAAAAAAACTTTCCGTGGTTGTTTTTAGTGGTTTATTTATTTTGCAACAACATTTTATCTATCTAGGTAGATTTTATATTCAATGTAAATATTCGTTTATTATACCCATTTGCATCAATAATAACAGCGTAGTGCTATAAATTGAAAGGGTAATCGAAAAATGTATTTAGAGTTCTAAAAATGATATGAGAAGGGATAAAAAAAGTGTAACCATATCATGCAGTACTCTGTTGAATGATTACTTTAGTAGAGTAATGGAAAAGTTTTCTAATTTCTAAAAGGCAATTTTGTGTTTATGTTGTCGTTAGGTGATCCTTGTAACTACATGCCATTACTTAATTGTCTCACAAGCAAAGTATAACCCACGTAGATGTAATTGAGATTACTATCTGTGGGATCATAATTTACCAGTTTACACACCCTATAGTTTTTAATAGCTTCTAAGTTTTGATCAATAAAGTTGTTGTTTGTTGACCTTCAGTGTTTTATTGGCATTTAAATAACTGTATCATAGATATCCACAATGAAATAACAAAACTGTTCAACATTAAAATAGACTTTCACAATTTTTTTTTTCATTTCAAAAATATATTTTACTACAACCTATAAAAGCTTATAAAGCCTACGTACCAAATTCAGCTAAAAATAAATCCAATGTAAAAAAAATTTTCATGACTTGGCATTGTAAGCAATTAAACATTGATAGTGATAATTCTTTTGTCTGTGTGTAGAGACCGAGTAAGATGGCTACGTGTACTGGTGTTGCAGCTACCAGTGGTACAAGGACTAGTCTACATGGTACTTCTAGTGATGTGGGCAGAGGAACAGGTACTTGCGCATTTTTTCGTTTACCGATTGAAACATTTTCTGTGAGAAATAAAGCTTGAAATATCTGCAGAACTTGGAACTTGTTTTTTTTACCATTTAACTATGCCATCTACAAATCATTTTAAATTTAAATTTGCTTAAGGCCCGTTATCTCTTGACTCTGTTCTTTTCACACTGAAGATGTAGCAATTGTGCACAAAGTGGAAGTAGTAGTAAAGGGTAAGTCCTTTGTCTGGATTTTATACCGCTTCTCTTGCACCTGAGATTTTCTTTGTTTTTGCATAATTAGAATAAAACTTTTCTTTTGTCGCTCATCTATTAAGAAGTGTGTCTAACTTTTGACCAATTTTGAGGGTTTCTCACACTGAGTGTGTTAATGTGCGAAGAGTTGTTTTTTCCCCTCTCACTAAAAGTGTACTCTCTTTGACCATTGTTTATTGTTACACTTGTTGTTCTTCTATACTTATTTGTTACTTAAAAAAAATGTATCGTATCATTGTTAAGTGTTAAGTGATAAATGATCTGTACCGTTACCCAAACTGTTTTCTTGGGATCCACTGTATTGTTCTTCATACTAAGTCTGGCCAATGTTAAATACTAAGAAGCAATTTTTGTCCGATATGTCTTTGTTCCTTGCACCAAGTTTGGACAATGTCTACCTCCAAATGTGATATTGTATAATATTGTTTGTTATACACTAAGTTTATCGTTGTGCAATGTTCGTTGTACCTTACAATGTCAACTGTTTACTCAGTTTTGTGTTTTTCGACGCCTATAACCTTTTTACTGTCTAGAGTCTCTACCAAGTGAACTACATGTACTTGCAGCCGCTAGTCGTCATGTCCATCTTGTGTGGGGTCTGGGGAATCATCATGACCATGAAGATGCTTACTGAGGTCAGAAAACAGCAAGATGTATTAAATTGGACCATTCATATTATATTAGATTCTTAAAAATGGAAACAATTTTTAGTAACTTTTGTACTTGGAGTACAAACATAGGTGACTTTACCAATGAAAAACTTGATAAGAATTTGGAACAATTAATCAATTCCATGCTGATGAACCCTTGTTCATTAAAGAAGTTTACAAGAATAAGAGTGAAAACACATCATCTTAAAGAATGTCACTAGATTGAACACATGCGCAGCTAATTGTTCCTAGATTGATTTATGCCAATCTATTTCATGCAAAAACCCATGTTGACGGGAAAATTCAAGGTTAAAGAACTAAAGAGGCTAACAATTTTTATAAAGGAAATTGGTACATGTGTTCATATTAAGGTGTGACATGTTTCTATTACATTTTGAGTATCAATCTTTACACCCATAATCAAATATAGTACCTAACAAATTATGTTTAAAACAATGGAATTATTGTAAAAAACTTATTTTATTTTAGCTTTGAATATGTTTTTAAACCGGTAAATTATGTTATTACCGGGAAATACTCATTATTTAACATTAATTTTAATGGAACCTTATAAACCGTATGTTAATGCTATTAGTATAGGATTCGGGCCATTAACGTCATTTGTTTATATTTCTGATCCATACAGGTTCTGTTCAAGTATTCGTGGTATTTCACAAACACAAATAAAATCAGATCTATTATACTAAAAAAAAAACATATCTACCATAAAATTATCTAAAGCTTTTCTAACAGGTGCTGCAAGGCTATCACATCCAGGGAAAGTTCATAGTTCTGCAGCTGGTGCTGATATTGGCAAAACTGCAGGGAGTCTGGGCGAGGCTGTTTGTTTGGTTCGGTTGGCTGCCCTGCAAACCTCCCATTACTCCCACTGTTTATGCTAATTGTAAGTACAGATCACTTCAAGAGTAGGTGTAAACTAAAAACAATATGACTGTGTGTTGCTTATAGTGGATGTAAATTTGATTCGATGTTGTAGTCAAGAAATCAAAAACTAGTACTCAAGTGGGTAAAATGATTTTGGAAGTTCCGTAGAACAAATATTTCAATCTGAGGTGGCTTGGTTGCTACTACACAGAAATGACTTGGGACATATAATATTCCAAATCACACAAGTCTTAGAAACAACTTTAATTTAATTTTAGCTTCTTAAAACACTATGTTTATTGAGCTTTATTAGTTTCTAATCTTTTTATGGCTCATGTTTTTAATTAAAAAAGAAGAGGATGTATCAGGGTAAAATTTAGGTATAAATATTTAAAGCAGCAGTTTTTTCTTGCTTGTACAATTTAAACTATTGTTATAATCTTAGAAACAACATTCTTCATTTGAACTATTCAAAAGATTATTTTGTAATATTTTATTGGACGTATCCACAATGCCCATTACAATATAACTTACTCAAACTGTTGTCGACAGTGCTGTATAACTCGCTGATGCTGTGGGAGATGGTACTGCTCTGCCTGTGTGCCCGATATCTCTACAAGAGGCCACTACCTCCGGCGCAACCCAGCGCTAGAAACTCACACTTCACCATCACATCAATCAGTGAGAAAGTTCCACCAGCGCCGACAATCAACAACAATACCAACGCCAAATTTTGAGCTCGGAGGCTGATAAATTCCATGATGTAATTAACTTGATAGAGTTGTGCGGTTCCTTTTCAATCGATTGACAAAACCGGCTATGATTGCGCCATTGTACAACACAAAGGATCCAAGTTGTTGGAAATCATCAGCTGTATGTAGGGTCCAAAAGTAAGAACAGCTGTAGTAGTATCAGCTGGTTGAAACTCTTCTATTTCATAACACAAGTGATCCTTTTTTGTGTGAAATTTTCAGTTTCAAATCTCAGAGGGCCATTTTAAAGACGTAGACATGAAACAAACATTTTTTGCCATAGTTTATTTTGGCCAGAGAAACATATTTTATTTTATGTATCAGGTTCCGTGTTTATGCACGTATTGTGACTATTTTTAATGATGCAAACTGCAAAGGAATGTTTTGTTTGGTGTCTACATCATTAATAGGAGGAATGAACAAATCGGAAGCTATATTAGTTGTTATGTTTATAAGAAGAGTAATGTTTTATTTGAAAGACAATGAGCTAATGAATTCAAAATGTACACTATTTTGCCGTCAACCAACATCTTAGTAAAATATGATTAGTAAAAAGCTCAATGCTTTTATGGTACCACCTTTAAAATTGATGATTGCATTACGCAACATATATTTTAAAGTAAATGTTAGGAACTACTGTCGCTTTAGTAAATTTAATATTTATCTAAGTTTAGAGTTCAATCATTGCAAAAATACATTCTTTGAAACTGACGGCACAACATTTCATGAATGAATAAATCATTCATTCATTTTACTTTAATGTAATTGCTCAGAGAGAAACCATGACAAATTAGAAAAAATATCTATTTTATTAAAAGTAAAAAATATTGGAAAAATTATTGTAATATAGTTTTAGTCTATACCTCATTTTAGTTACTAGTAAGATAATTGTAATTATTTATATTATTTTGGTAATATTGCTATTACCTTTCTGTGATAGATTTATACTACATGTACTCCGCATTACAAATTAAAGAATGGACTTGAGTTAGTTCGATAAAGAAGTTTGCAGCTTGAAAGATAAAAAAAAAAACAGTAATTTGTACATTTTGTTGTATTACCGGTGTGGAAGCAATACCAAAATACATGCAAAATAAGTTATGATTATTTAATCTCAATTGATGTCAATAGATGCTGTAGTTGTGACGTATGACAAAAGTCCTAAAACCATCCAGCAGACAAAAGTACATCATTATTTGATAAGGTTAACCTACCAATGAAATAACAAATAACTACATATACTGTAGGAGCAAAACCCAAAATTGTTATCTAAAGTAAACCCATCACAATTGACACAACATTTTGTTATCCATCATGTTAAATCCCTTCTTTTAAATTTTTTTAGTCATACTTGACACGGACAATTTTTACCACTGTCATAATCTCCTTTCAAACTGTATTTTTCTGTTTAAGTTTGTATACATGACATCCCAATAAAATATTTGGCGTATTTAATAAATAAATTTTTAAAATGTTCATAGAGTTGGCAATTTATTTCCTTGCAGCATGTTTTCTCTGATTATTGTACAGTAAAATAGATTTCTGTAAAGTAAGATATCTTAGGTTATAGCAAGTAAATGATAATCTTTTTGGATATAACATTGTAAAATAACTGTGAGTGATGTTAAGATTTTAAAGTTGAATATTAATGTAATAATTAAATAAATGAATTGTTATCACCACACAAACATTTAGACAAAAGTAGCGTAGCTACTAAAAAGGTGACATGGTAAGTCAAAACTGCATTGTTTCAAGAATCATTAGATAGTTTTAATTTTACTACTATATTATATTATATTCCTTTACCTACTAAATTGCAGGCTTACATACCTATCTACGATCATATGGAACTGTATAAGAGGTAATAAAGAATACAAAAACAGTAAGAAAACCATCTAATATGCTTTATTTTTGTTTGATCAATAACATAGTGATATAATGAATAACATAGTTAAAACGCTTTTAACATAATACAGTAAATTATACGATGATATAAAATATATAATAATAAAACAAGCCCTAAAAGAACAATACTAACAATTGATTAAGCTTCTCAGTAAAAAATTTCAGTTTTATATTTAAGGGATTTAGTGAACACACAGATTTCAAATCACTAAGGCATTCAAATCACAATAGAAAGTTATTTTTTATACAACAGTAATATTTAGCTTGTATCACAATAAAATGTAAAACACAAAAAAGATTATATAACATAAAATGACTATTTTAATTTTCAATCACAATTGATTCTTAATTCTTTGGTTTTCATACAGGTGTAATTTACGTAGTCTTCAAATCTCTAGATTGTTGACGACAAAAATCATGGCAACTTTAACTTGTTTAAACATAAATTCATCTTAAAAGGATACAAATATTTCACTAGACATAAAGATATAAAATATGTTAAAAATTAAATTACATAAAAAAGGACACAAATACACACAAAAAAGCTCCTGAACAAAGCACAAACCCGTAGACAATATCATTTTGAAGAACCCAAATAGAAAACTAATTTTGCTTTGATAATTTTAACATGTAAATTTGAATTCTTCTCCTTCCATGTTTAGAAGAACTTGATAAATAATTACATGCCGCAAACTATAAAATAAGGCACACAAACACAAACCACTTTCTAGCCCAAAGATCAATTGTGCTAAAATTTCATGTACTGGCTTGAAACTGTTATTATGACCTATTTGGATTTATAAATACCACCAGCACTGCTCAAGTAACAAACAGGGTGTTACATGTTTTGAAATGAAGCCATTCAAATAGTATTTCAGTCCAGGAAATACATTAAACCTACTGGAGTAGCGAAGTTGACTATAGCAAGACAATACGTGACAAATGAGACATGAAACTCAATATAAATTGAACGCTGAGAGTACACACCTCTACTTTTTCTATGTTAGAATCACTGTAGAAGTTTAGTATAGTTTCAGTGTGGAATATAAAAGCCATTGGGGCTTAGCAATTAGATTGTATGCACTTATTTTTTGGCTTTGAACAAGAGTGACTTACAGTTAGTTATAATTCCTGAGGTGAGGTGTTTGAAACATGTAACACCCTGCCACTGATAGTGGACGAGTTGGTGTTTAGTTGGTAGCACAACAGACTACAGAATAGACCCAAGGCAGCAAAATCATAAGTTTGCATCCTGGGTCTGCTACTAATATATCAGTACAGTTCATTCTTGTTCAGTATCGGCTTTTTGTTTTCTTGATACATTCCACACAGGCCAAGAAACCAATACAAGTACCGGGTTGAGAGAGTAACAAAACAATAACAATATTCATTTTAGTAGTATGGCGTAAACTATCGTACGTAACTCGTCCAAAATGTGTTTACCGGACTCGTATGGTAATCCCGTACTCGACTTCGTCTCGCTCGGGAACAACCACTCTCGTCCGGTAAACACTTATTTTCTGGACTAGTAACGTAATATACTATTACGTACTGGTAACAGTTGAGAACATACAGATAATATTAAAGATTCTTCACAAACAGTACTGTAAACTAAATAAAGCTCAACAATAATACATGTAAAAACTACATTGAATGACTACAGCCCTTAAGTATATAAAAATAAACTGTGTTATAAAATATAATACATAATTTATGAGGCGGGAACCAGCTTACCAGTATGGCACATATTCTGGAAACCTTCCAGACTTGAACATCACATGGACAATCAAAACTTGTTTCCCAACAGCTTCCCTATTATCTTTGTTGTCGAGGTAAACAAAATTATACACCATGACCCAAGCATTTGCTGACTAAAGTTGGAGAGCTCTTGGTGTGTATGACTTAAAAATTTTATCTTCAATCTTCATTCTAGTAGCCACCTACTGTATATTCTAATCTGATGTAAAACATGAATAGAATATTTTATTAAAATCTGACTGAACTTCTACTTCCCTCTTTAGGCTACATGGAATCTTCTTTTTTCTTAAAATCTCATTTCAAAATTCCAAAAAAATACAGTTTGCTGAGGGATTGTAACACTACATTACAAAATATGTTTGATAAATTATCATTATAAATGAAATTGTCAACTTAAAAGAACGTTAAAGTTCATAGAAATGATGTCATACTATATGACATGATTATGACATAGTATTATTTTAATCTCCAAAAATGTAGATTTTTGATTATATCAATTGTTGTTGTAAATAGTATATTTTATTACTAGTACTGAGAGTAGAATTTTCCATTTACCATAAAAATGTAAAAACTAGTTAATATCTATACCGGTATTATGATACTTTTAAAATTGTTGGGAAAATCACAATTACAATTACTACAATACATTGCAATTAAATACTATTCCAAGTAGTTGGAAAATGGAAAACTGATTCAGAGTGAGGTAAATCCAGCTGATAGTTTTTCATCTGATCAAAATTGTCAAATAAAAAATAATCGTTCTCATTGACATCTGTCAAAGAAAAAGACCTAATTTCTATTAAAAAAGCTAAAAAGTTCAAAAAAAAGTCCAAGCAAATATTACATAGCAGTACTGTAACAGGGATAAACTAATTTACCTGTCACAAAGGAATTAAGTGTTGCCAGCAACAGCGAATAGCGGCTCATAAAATGGCAATAAAACCCTCATGACTGTACATAATTGACGTTGTAGATGAAGATGTCTCCGTGGATCATCAGAGTGTCGACACTCTTGTAAGGCACTCTGTGTCTGTAGACTAGTAGAACATGACCATCCATGTGAACCATGTATCTGTCATCTTCACACGAGATTGTCAAGGAGAAAGTTTGTCTGTAAGTTATCAAAACATTCAAATTAGTAATAGTTGCTGTAAAGATTTGTAAATTGTGCTGTTTATTTGGAGCCAGAGGGATGTCGAGGCATTGAATGGACGGAATTTATGTTAATTCACCAGCCGTAACGTTTTATTAAAGGAAAAAACCCTAATGTAGCTTTATACAACCTTATCTGTTGAAAATTTTAAAAAGACTTTTTCCTACAGTCACCTGACAAATTGGGCTTCCTTGCACAGATTATAGTACAGAAAGTTGCTAATTGCTGCATTTACTTACTTTTGCTGCAAGCTTTTTTTTGCTGTACTCTTTTTTTGCCGAGCACCAGTACTAAAAAGCACAAAGCAGCGTGCTTTTATTATGCACATAATCCGTGTACGCTTGGAAGTAGGTTGGCAACACTTACTGAAACTTCGGCTACAATCAGCTGGTACAGTTGTTTCCCATTTCGTTCAACGCTTGGATTTAATCTAACCTAAAACGTGTTTACTGTTTGAAAGATTAATTTTTTCTATGCTTTACAGCAACTGTAGGAAAGATATAATGTGTAACACGAGTGCAAAGTGCCTTTGCTGCACTCGAGAATCTTTCCACATTCGCCTGCGGCACGTAGGTAAACATTTCTCTTGTGTGCAGCAAAGTGCTACGTCGCACACCAGTTACACAAATAACTATTGAAGACACATTGTGATGGAGAATCACTTAGATTATCTACAATCTGTTATAGTTTGGAAAGCTTTGTTGGCCAGTAGTTGTTGCCACAGAGGTAAGATAAGGTATGGTAATAAAGGATGGTATGCAATTGGAGGTGGTACGGTATGTAGCTACTCTACTCAAAACCAGTGGGTGTATCGGCTGCCAATCTTACTTCAAAGGCTTTTTAAATTGACACAATTGCTGGTTTATTGTAAAATTATGGGATTTCAAACCATATCGTATAGGCCTATAATCAGATGAAAGTAATAGGAGGTCACGTAACATTTGTTTACAAGATGATTTTCCCATTAAAACTGTCCAAATTTCTTTATGTGTGTAAACTAGCTGTTCTTAATTATGTTCAGTTTTAATTGACTAGCCAATTCCCATACGTAGGACAGGCCAACAGCTTGTTTATTTAATTTAACAATATTATACAATATTATGCAATATTATTAACAATATTACTTTTTAGCAATCTTGTGCATACCCGGGAGTAAATGGGAACTTGTAGCTACTCTTCTCTTCAGAATGCCATTTCTCACGTGCCCAAGTGTTGGCTATGACTTTCCTGTCAGGATACATAAACCTCGTAGACAGATGGAACGGAACCAGCGGATGAGGCCAATGATCACTGCCTTCCTGAAGATTCACGTAAAACCTGACATACAATATTGTTACTTATTTCTTTTGTGTTTAGGTTTCAACTTTATTTTCATATGTACAGTTAAAAGACAAGCAGTACTTTTACTCTATTACAAATATTTAGATTAGAATCAAAGGAGAATTTCCAAATGAGTCTTTTCATTAGACATTTTGGTGTTCTATAGATTCCATGTATTTTATGTAAATTTACTTCAAATGACTAAAAAAACAAAAGCGATGTTTTGGCACTTGAAATGATGAAGAAGTAAAAGTGGATATAAACTTCAAAAAGTATTTAGATTTTTATTACACTTTTATAGCTTGGAAAATATTTTTAGTCTAATGAGGGGATGACGGTTAGCCACATAACAAAAGGATTGCTATTGCTATAAGATATAATATATATATTTTTTTTAACAGGGTAATGATTCTTGTAAAATATAATCCTTAAAACAAAAATAAACATAAGATATCTTCTAAGATTATTTTGGCCACTACCCTAATGTCCATATGTTTCCGTGAAATAGAATTTTATTCAAGTGTATTGTTTTACCATACAGAAGTTTTCTATTTTAGAATACCCTCTTGCCCCAATGAAAATTTCCAGAAACTTACATTGTTACTTTGATCAGGTAAATTAGGAAACTGTTAAATAAGATTTACGATATAAATACTTACGAATGTGGTAACAGCTTAACTTTGCCCAGAATTTCAATTTTGGATTTTTTCACCAATTTCTTGGGAAGAGCAGCAAATAAAGGTGTAATCTGAAATTAAAACAAAGCCAATAAATATGTTTTTTTAATATTGGTAGTTAGAAAGGACTGGCTGATAACCTATCAAACAATAGACACACTATAAATAATTGACACACAATTAGAGTTTAGTACTGTAGTTATAGTCTTTACTGCAAGGACAACCTTTCCTACCAAAGCTCATTTTAAAGATTTTGACAGAAGTAAGTGAACATTGAACAAAATGCCTTTACAGATAATACTAGTAAATAAAGTCTACAATCTAAATAGTCAGCAAATACATTAAAATAACTTGATATAGGCTGTAATCAGGGGTGCCCAGAGGGGGGTTACTGTGGCGCGTTTGCGCCACAGGAATTTTTGGGGGGGGACTTTTTTTGAGGGGATTTTGGGGGGGGATATTTTTTTGCTAGCTGTCATATTGAATGAATAATTTTGTATAAGCAGCCTGAAAAAGTGTTTCTAAGTAGCTCACAATCAACACCAACAACATTTTGCCATTTGTAATTAAGATTTGCTTCTAAGAATGGTAAAAACACACCTTGTCAGACAATCCTTAATATACCAGTGTCAGTGTCGAATTTTATTTGCTACATATGTTTTGGTGGTTCTTTACCTCCACCACACAAAACACAAATCGATTAGGCCTATCAATTCACGCGTATATTGCCGTCATCAGAACTGGAAGTAAACTGAATACTGAATCAGGTTCAGGTTATGACGGACAGACGTGGTCTCTGGATTGTCGTCTGCATTGTCACCAGCTGATATAGGACTATTGTAGTGACTGAGAAGAGTGGTAAAAGTATAATGGGATTCATAATTAATTGAGTGTTTTCACTCAAAAATTTTGCGCTGTCCCTAGTTTTATGTATTTATATATTTCAAACTCCTCAAAGTATTTAATAAATTTCCTTTTGTGCAGTAGGGTACTGTAGAATTTCGAGACCATAATTTATATCCAGCAGATAAATTGGTTATTATTGTCAATAATTTTAAATGGAAAACTAATTATGAATCCCATTATATTTTCAACACTCTCCTCTGTCACTACAACTAGTCCAATATCAGCTTTTGATAACACAGACGACAATCAAGAGACCACGTCTTTCCGTCATAACCTGATTCAGTTTACTTCCAGTCCTGCCCGCGGCAATATACTCACGTGAATTGATAGGCCTATCTGTTATCGTTTCGTGTTTTGTGTATAAACAGATTGTCTGACAAGATGCGTTTCTACCATTATTAGTCATAAAAGGCAATCCTGGGGCTATCAAAATTAATTATAAGATTACTTCGTCACAAAAACCTTTTGTGGGTATTTTGCCTGGCGATTTTTGTAGAGTAAAATCGAGTTTTTGGAGTGTGTTGTTTGGAGTGGCGGTGTTTGTAGAGCCAGGGAGTGGCGAGCAACAAGTCTGTCTTTATTTCGTGACTCTGCCTATAATTTTGGGAAAAAAATACTTTTTGCCAATACACAAATACATAATACAGATACTTAATGCATTTTTAAAGCGATTTGATTTCTTAAAATTCTTCTCTGAGATTCTTTCTCTGTAAAAATTATCGCCACCTAATATATTGTACAGTTACAATACTGTGTTGGAGTAGAGTAATTCACCTAGTAAAATGTTGTACGTTTTGAAGATGTTATCTATTGCAATACTGAACACATGTTAGCTGACAATAGAGATTCTGAAATGTAAATTGAAACACTTCTAATTCGTCCATTAGTTAGATATACCTAATGAAGTATTGTTAAATGTTGTTAACGTTTCCTATTAAACATTAAATTTTTATTATCAGCAAGTTTGTTTTTCTTTACCTCAAGTTTACTAAATACTAAATTGGAATGCTCATTTTATGAGGTAAAGGGAAAATTGTCAGATAAATTGGTGGGGGGAGGGTAGGTTTAAATAGACGGCAGCATAAATTGGGGGGGGGAGAACTACTCCTTTGGCTTGGGGGGGGGGGGGGGGTTGCGCCTCTGGGTTTGGGGGGGATGGGCACCTCTGGCTGTAATAACTAAAATAACGACGCCATAGTGAAAATGCCACCAAAAAAGTAATTGTTGCTGAGCTACTGTCGCTCCTGAGTGGTCGTGGAGCAGTACCCAGCGACTGCAGCTCGCGGCTCTAGCGACAGTAGCTCCAAGCTAAACAGGACTATGAAAATCCTGCCAGAGCAGTGTCCCGCGACTGTCGCACCTGTCGCTCCAAGCAAAACGTACCTTAACACTGCATATCAGAGGCACTATCAGTGATGTTTTCGTTGTAGCTAACTTACCTGACAAGATAAGCCTGTGTCACCGACATCGGCTAGTTTGATCTTGTAAAGACACTTTACAATCTCGGTAGGTGGGGAAGACGGGTAACTAACAACAGGACGAACGTCTACTTGGGTGTCTTTCACGCCACACACCTCCACACAAGTTACGTTACCAAGCTGTGTCCGGTAGGCGTACGAACAGTAGTGGACACCGTTAACTGCCACCTGCACAAATATCCTGCGTTAGTTTTGCGTAGCGCTATCAAAGTATAGGTGACTTTGGAGGGATCATACAATTAACCTAAGACTTAAAAAAAATATATTTAGCAAATAATAAACTTGGTTTAGAAAACACTGTTTGTTATTTTATCATTTTTACTCTTGATTTTCAGCTAGTGTATTTGTTTTATTTTACTCCGTCGAACATAGACCTAGACCTTTTTCTCAGTGTGCAATTTACATTCCACCTAGGCCAAGACCTGGGAGGTGTCCAAGCTTTTTAGTGAGAAGAGTAACCTGAACAAACTGCTACAATATCAAACAAGTACTACTCTTAAAAAACTATTTGAAAGCATTAGAAAATACTACGAAAAATTACTAATCTAAAGCGCAGTACTGACTGTCCGGTAGTATTTCCCCATTTTTAAATCTGGTAACTCACCAGATATTCAGAATGTGTAAGGAAGATCTCAACATAGAAAGGTTGTCCGCGCACAAAGGGGAAGCACTGGAAGCTGTTACTCTCTTCTACGCCCCACGACCCTTCTAGTCTAGTGTTGCGAGCCGTGTAGTGCTGATCTAGCCGAGGATTGAAATGAAAAGCAATGTCTGCTTTCTCTCCTCTACCCATCATAAAGTTTATCTCAAGCCTAGCAAAAACAAAAATATAATATTCAGGAACAGTGCAACAAAGAACATTAGATTATGGGAAAAGGGAATGCATAATGGCATGATCTCACCAAATTAACCCATCCATAATAATATCTTCCACTAAGCTACAATAGAAATCTGGTACCTAGTAGCATAGACAAATAGAATAAATATAGACCGTCAGCTGTGCTGCGGTTAGCATAAGTTCCGGCGTCCACCGCTAGGTTTGCCGTGTAGTTACAGCGCACACCGCTGCAGCGTTTGCTGGTCGCATACGGCTCCTGCGCTCCTCGCCTGCAGCGGTGTGCGCCGTAACTACACGGCATCCCTAGCGGAGGGCCGGAACCTTCCTTTGACAGTCTATATTTATTCTATTTGTCTATGCTAGTAGCTTTTATTTAATTTTGAAACCCCATATAATTTGATTTTCTACAGTGAAATGTTACAGCAATTTGGTTTTAACATTGGATGCTTTTATAGTATTTAAACTTTGTGAGGTGATTGCAGTTTCGGATGGTTTTATATGTATGTTTCAACAAGATTTGCAAGATTCTTGTGTGATTTTGAGGAAATCGTAATAAATTTTGGGTCAAAAGTTCAACCAGATCATGGAAAATCACACACATTATGTCGTTAACCAAAAGGAAAATTCAATATGGTAATTGGAAAATAAACATTTCATTTCATTCAAAATTATTAGGTAGGTACCTACTTGATTGTCTTTGTATTTGATTGTCTTTTAATTATATTCTTATGCTTTTTAAAACATATTTTATAAAAGATTAAAAGTTTTTCACCTGACCTAGTAGTTCTACAGTCGACCACTCCTTGAACAAAGACAGAAGACTGTGGATGAAGACTGGACCTCAACTCGTGGAAATATGGGACCATCTAGAATTATACTTCATTTTAGTGGAATTAGTATAATAAAGAAGGGGTTGTATTTATATTGTAAGATTTATAATATTAGTAAGATGTTATACACTAAAACTATAACTACACTTTTCACTAAATAGATTGTATCACCATAATATCACCATAATCATCATAATATCACCATTGTTGTTTCAAATTTAATTTTGTTGACAAGCTCTTACAGGGGTTTTAAGGTTTTTATGGTTGAATGGGCACCCTGTACAAATTTAACTATTTCTTTGCACAATTAAGAATAAATAATTGTAGTGATTGGCGGATCCAATAAAATGTCGGTACCGGTACTGATCTTGAAAAATTTGGATCCGCGTCTGAAGATATATTTAAATCATACTGGTTTAAATTAAATTGCATATGTTTAAAGGTTGATAAGATATAGAATAATATAGCTTATATGGCTAGGCAATGTCACAGAATATGTCGGACGGATCCAACCATCACTAAATAATTGTCACGTGGCACTCACTGAGCTGATGCTAGAAATGCTGTTTGTACGGAAGGCATGCAGACTCAAATTGTTCTCTGGTTCAGGTATAAACTCTAGAACTGCAGAGGGATAGTTAGCGGTGGGGTGTACCAGCATCTTCCTGACTGTCACTGCCCCCTCCACCTGAACACTGGTCACCGTGGCTAGTGGAGTTCGGTAGTCGAATGAGCAGTAGTGTACACCGTCCACAGCTACCTGCACAAGTCATTTACTTTTACATAGAGATATTAACTAGTGCATAGAGGAATGTTAGATTTGGCATTGTTTTACGGTGATAAACACTGGCACATAACAGAAATTGAATCCTGGTCCAATGAAAATTAACGTTAACTTGTAAAGTGTGTAAGGCAATCCTCGTACTACATTTATCCTCAATATCTGAAAAAGTCCTATATTAAGACAAAGTATCAGTGTTTTGTTTTGTTATCTTTTGTTTGAGTATTACCGTCTGGACTATTATTTTTCTCCAGTAAGCCAAAAGAACCACCAATTCCTTAAAAAAATGGTTTTGGTTTTGACAAATAACTATTGTTGGTACGAAAAACAGCTGTGGTAATTACGTCCTAATTAATTATCAATCAATTAGTACGTAGTGGTGAGTCGGTGGCTCAGTTGGTGGCGTCGCGGACTTCGGGCCCAAGGCAGTAGTGTCTTGGGTTCGGATCCTGGTTACTGCCACAAACTTTTATCAGTACAGTTCACCTTTGTACTGTACCGGCTCACCCCTTGCTTTGCTGGATACGTTCCACGCACAGATCTGTAGTCTGTGTGGACGGAAAAATGCAAGGTTAAGAGGCCACCAACCTCTAAAAAAAAAAAATTATTATCCAATCAATTATCAATAATTTAAGATGGGGACACCACTATGTGCGTATTTTAATCCAAACGTGAGGGAAGGATGAGTGTAGGATGAGTGGCGCGATCTTGTAGTCTTGTTAGTAACTAAGGCCGACACATTCCCTAGACACAGCTGTTAATAAATAAATAGCCCATTCAGCTAATGGCAACTAAGGGACTTACAGTGTTTTTGTGTTTTGTGGTAGTGTGTTTGGTTTGTTGTTCTCCAAACAAATCTTTAGGGTGTTTAGATCAAATAATTGATGAATTTTAAATAGAGTGAAGTCAAAAACCTATTGTGGAGAACTAGTCTTTAAAAAGTGTGAGCTAAAAAAAACAACTTAATTTGTAAAATTAACTTGATCATTAAAACGACAATATACAATAATGACTTTATGTAAGATTTGTAGCCCAGATTGAACAATAAAATATTGTATTTACTTACGTCTTCAATTCAAATTCTTGTGGAATATGTGTTTTGGCCAGCTCCTCGTCATTCCTTTACGGTATGATTTGCTTGAATCTAGGCTGCGCTGCAGGGGTGCCCAGAGGGGAGGTACTGTGGCGCGTTTGCGCCACAGGAATTTTTGGGGGGGGACTTTTTTGAGGGGATTTTGGGGGGGATGTTTTTTGCTAGCTGTCATAATGAATGAAAAATTTTGTATAAGCAGCCCGAAATAGTGTTTCTAAATAGCTCACTATCAACACCAACAAAATTTTGCCATTCGTAATTAAGATTTGCTTCTAAGAATGGTAAAAACGCACCTTGTCAGACAATCCTTAATATACCAGTGTCAGTGTCGAATTTTATTTGCTACATATGTTTTTGTGGTTCTTTACCTCCACCACACAAAACACGAATCGATTACAGATAGGCCTATCAATTCACGCGTATATATTGCCGTCGTCAGAACTGGAAGTAAACTGAATCAGGTTCAGGTTATGACGGACAGACGTGGTCTCTGGATTGTCGTCTGCGTTGTCACCAGCTGATATAGGACTATTGTAGTGACTGAGAAGAGTGTTAAAAGTATAATGGGATTCATAATTAATTGAGTGTTTTCACTCAAAAATTTTGCGCTGTCCCTAGTTTTATGTATTTATATATTTCAAACTCCTCAAAGTATTTAATAAATTTCCTTTCGTGCAGTACTGTAGAATTTCGAGACGATAATTTATATCCAGCAGATAAATTGGTTATTATTGTCAATAATTTTAAATGGAAAACTCAATTATGAATCCCATTATATTTTCAACACTCTCCTCCGTCACTACAACTAGTCCAATATCAGCTTTTGATAACACAGACGACAATCCAGAGACCACGTCTTTCCGTCGTAACCTGATTCAGTTTACTTCCAGTCCTGCCCGCGGCAATATACTCACGTGAATTGATAGGCCTATCTGTTATCGTTTCGTGTTTTGTGTATAAACAGATTGTCTGACAAGATGCGTTTCTACCATTATTAGTCATAAAAGGCAATCCTGGGGCTATCAAAATTAATTATAAGATTACTTCGTCACAAAAACCTTTTGTGGGTATTTTGCCTGGCGATTTTTGTAGAGTAAAATCGAGTTTTTGGAGTGTGTTGTTTGGAGTGGCGGTGTTTGTAGAGCCAGGGAGTGGCGAGCAACAAGTCTGTCTTATTTCGTGACTGCCTATAATTTTGAAAAAAAAAACTTTTTGCCAAAGTATTATTAATGCATTTTTAAAGCGGTTTGATTTCTTAAAATTCTTCTCTGAGATTCTTTCTCTGTAAAATTTAACGCCACCTAATATATCGTACAGTTACAATACTGTGTTGGAGTAGAGTAATTCATCTAGTATATTGTTGTACGTTTTGAAGACGTTGTCTATTGCAATACTGAACACATGTTAGCTGACAATAGAGATTCTGAAATGTAAATTGAAACACTTCTAATTCGTCCATTAGTTAGATATACCTAATGAAGTATTGTTAAATGTTGTTCGTTTCCTATTAAACATTTAATTTTTATTATCAGCAAGTTTGTTTTTCTTTACCTCAAGTTTACTAAATACTAAATTGGAATGCTCGTTTTATGAGGTAAAGGGAAAATTGTCAGATAAATTGGTGGGGGGAGGGTAGGTTTAAATAGACGGCAGCATAAATTGGGGGGGGGGAGAACTACTCCTTTGGCTTGGGGGGGGGGTTGCGCCTCTGGGTTTGGGGGGGATGGGCACCTCTGCTGCGCTGGGGTAATATATTTATAATAACTGACACAGTAGCTACAGCACTGACGCAGCTAGGATGCAAGTAAACCTTGCACGGTCGAACCACGTACTCCACAAACATTTGAATTGAATGTGTAAGTAAGTACAATACATTGATGACTTTATAAACAAATCACCCTTACCATGAATTTTGAGTTGGAAAAATATATTTCCATATAGAACGGAAAACCGTTGCGAAACGGAAACTTCTCTTTCACATTGCCCTCTTCTGTTCCCCAGGTACCTCCGAATTTGCAGTTGCGAGCCGTGTACCCTTGGAGCAATCGAGGGTTGAAGTGGAATGCAAAGTCCTGACTCGCTCCTCGGTCTACTGAGAAGTTCACGGCAAATCTGGATCAGGTGTTGGATGTGAATTAAACCATTGATAATTGGATTCTGAAGAAATAACATCTTTATGCCCAACATACATCTATAGCTACGCCTATGGCTCTCTATGCAGTTTTGTGTAGGTGTAGCCTGTTATTTAATAAAAAAAAATTTTTTAAATAAATTTAGAGCCTCTTACAGAGTAGGCTTTGTTCTAAAACTAAGATTGCTTTCATAGCAATGAAAGCCAGTTGAGCGGAGCAATCATGTTTCATAGTTTTTAATAAAGCAATAAATGAAAAAAATGTTATAGATATAATATAAAATGTACTAATGTTCCCACACTCTTCACTGCTAGCCTTTACTACTTCCTTCACCACTTCCTACATCGTGGACCTGTTTCCCTCCCTTCCTAGACCATTTTAGTGTTGCAGATACATTAATGTAACTGTCACAAACGGTTCACACACTCCACACTGCCAGTTCTGCAAGTCTTTACTACTTCCTTCACCACTTCCAACGTTGTGGACCTGTTTATTTTAGGATTGCAGATACATTAATATAACTGCCACAGACGGTTCCCACACTCCGGACTGTTCACCTTTACTACTTTCTTCACCATTTCCTATGTCTTAAACCTGTTTCCCTCCCTACCCATAGAATTTTAGGATTGCAGTAGTATTTTACAATTATCTAACTGCCACACCACAAACGTTTCCCACACTCCACACTTCTTGCCTTTACTACTTCCATCGCCACTTCCTACGTCGTGGACCTGTTTAAGTTTTACAATTATGAGATGGCTTGATTTTAACATATGCTATGATTGTTTGTTTTGTTTACATTTACGTCGTTATTTTGTAACCATCATGGCAACCTATAAGACCAATGTTAAAATTTAAAAGCTTTGAGTTACATTAAAAATATATAGGCATTATAAAAGTTTGAAATTGGTTACGTCTAAACCATCCAAACATTTGACAAAACAACCTTGGTAAGTTTTGCTAAAAAATGTTCGGCCGTTATTGAAATTAAGTGTTATAAAGATTGCATTGAAGTTGATCCCAAAGAGCTTCGCTTCACTCCACTCAATTATATTTTCTCCCTTAGATTTCCCCACTAAGTTATACCTTAGTAGATTAAAATTTTTTAAGCATCTTCTTGGTAAAGTTTTAAATGAACAGAGCAAGAATTTCCTGAGAAAGCTGAAACTTTATTTGGTAGAGAAAGTTTTTCATTCCTTGGAAGAGTAATTTTCCACCTCCCCTCTTAGCGTTAGCCTTTATAAGATTAAAACCTTATGACTTTGCACTAGATACTTCATGAACGACAATTACTCTGTATAATCAATTATAGTTAGTTAATGTACTTACCTGATGCCATTATCCATAACTTCTCCCTGGATGATTAGGGAAGACTGGGTGTTGAAACTGGAAGCCAACTTGTGATGAAATGGTTCTGGCTGAAAAGATATTGGCAACTGAGCAAGCAAAATATAATTGCATTTTAAGTGTGTTAATGTTATACCCAGTGATGTAAGAATGATTTATCAATGTTATTTGTGTGACTTTTTATTGTGTATCATTTAGTTCCTATCCTAGACTCAAATTTTCCTAGGTAAGGCTTGTCACACACTGCGTCCGGTCCGGTAAAATCGGATCAGGCATGCCGGATCAGGTAAATTTGAAAACCATTAATTTGAATTGAAGTCCCCACACTGCATCAGGTACGGTCCGGTAAAATTATTTCGGATGAGAAGCGATAGGCTTCAGGCAAGCTTCCGGCGCCGGAGAGCTCGCACATGCGCAGACGACTTCTACTCACCACCTGACAGTGACAGTAGGCACTGACAGTAGCAAAAGACATGGTTTTGTGGTGATTGTTTATGCTGTACATTTTGTTACAAAATGTAGTTCCATAAATTTCTCGAAACTCATCCGGAAATACTGAAAAAAAAAACATTTTGCGGGAACAAGGTATGAAATTCTCCCTAATTTATTCTACTCACGTTTATACTGTGCACCCACAACCTCTTCTGTCGCCGACGCCCTTCCTCTTCTAAATTTTGTTAAAACTAACTAATTTGTTGTTGGTTAAACACACTCACATTACCGCTGTCCTCGCATAGACTGGTCGCCTGAACTGGAACGCCTGATGCAGTGTGTGGAAATTTGCCGGATCCGGCAAAAAACACCGGATCAGAATTAACCGGACCAGACGCAGTGTGTGACGAGCCTAAGCTTGCTGAACAGCTCCTTAATTCCAACTCAACAACTCACTTGATTTTCCATTATTTTGTAAAACACCAACTTACAGTGATGATACATGTAAATGAAATATTACACCACTGTAAGAACAAGTAATATATTTGAAAGGATTCACTGACTAAAATAATAGTAAACTTGGGGTAGTCCTACATCGTAACAGAATATATAAATAATTATCAACTATCAAATAAATAAATAAATCTGTCACACTACCGACAGCCTTTGATTCACATTCATTTCTAACTTTGTACTAATTTTGTCCAGACAAGAATACAAGAGAGGCATAATCTATAGTATTGGCCCCCTGGCCCCTATGGTATTTTGTGTACCTGGGGGATTCCCAGCTATCCCAATAACAGAATGCTCACCTTCGGCTCGTAATCACTGGCAGAGTACAACACCACCGGTTGTAAGTCAGGACATGGTAGATACTCAGGCATGGGTGTCGGGTAGGTAGCGCTAGTGTGTAACGCCACCTGTGACAGACTGACTCCTCCCTGTACACACACCCTTGTGATGCTAGCCAGATGTGTACGGTATGTGAATGAGCAGTAGTGCACTCCGTCTACAGCCACCTGCGAATTTATATAGTAGAATGCCACTATTCACAAAATGAATCTATTCAGCATGTATTATGTAAGTTTTAACATTAAAAAAGTTGGTAACTAGATGGTTTTTTTTCAAAATTGTTGCAACCTTTTCTTAATCTATACTAATATGAGTAACGTTTGCGCACAATGATTTAAAAACAGCTGTTATTATTTCCTTAAAATCGTTAGAAAAATCTAAGTTTTAGGCTAAAAACAATATCCATTCTAGGCTCTGTTCTAGGAATTTTTTTCACGTATATTGAACTAAAGATCTAGGGGAAAGGCCAAGGATGTTTTGTAGATTTTGACGATGCGCCACCGGAATTGATGCGTTGTTAGTCCACGATCCCGTAATTAGTTGCAACGTTCTGCGATCCCAGAGACTAAAGCAAAAACGGTCAACACATGTCATGTATTATGAGTCTTTATATTGAAGTTTATCGTAGAAATTTTCAACATAAATTGCTCGTCCAAATTAAAATGTTTGTTAGTTAAATTAAGAATGAGTGAATGAAATGCCGAAAACGAATTAACTTTACAGCTTAATTAATCGTAGCAAAACTGAACATATTTGTAGGCTTATAGATTTTATTTTTTTAACCTCTTGAACAAATCCAACACCTCGAGCAATGCTCGGTACTCTGGTACAACAAACAGTGATTCAACAACCAACAACAACACAGTGACAGTCAAGATTACGTAACAGGTGACATTATTTTGATTTTCTAAGCCTCATTGGTAATTTTGTCAGCAACTTAAGTAATGACTTGTTTAAGAAGTGATATCTTATAGTTATACGGGCGAAAATTAAAAAAAAAAAATGAAAAGAGACAGTTCAATATTAAAATATTCCTTCAGTTAAAAAGTGTTAAAGGTAGTTCATAGAGAATAAGAATTACAAATATTACAACTCACCATAAACTTAGATTCAGAGAGGAAAATCTCAAGGAAGAATGGTTGCCCGCAGCGAAATGGGAATTTCTGTTCGCTTCCTCTTTCTTCTTCTCCCCAACATTCGTTGAAACGAGAGTTGCGGGTGACTACGTACTCATCTAGTCGAGGGTTGAAATGAAAAGCAATATCAGGTTGATCTTCATCACCAATTATAAAATCTATATTAAATCTGAAAAAAAAACAAGAAGAACAATTATTGGAAGAACCATTTTGGAACGCCTAAAATAAGATATCCCCACTAAATGTAGTGAGAAAAGTAATTGATATGAAGCATGCTTGCAGGCATTAGTTGTCAGGTCAACAATAATCTATGATTCTAAAGACTTATCAAAATCAAAATCCATGATTAGGGAAAACAATTATTTAAATTTAAATTACCGTAAATGATAAAGCTATGCATATTAATCATGAATATTCATGATTATCTTAATTTTAAATCATGAATATTCATCTTAATTTTAACCTCTATCCCTACCATTTATATTGGTACATTGATGGTACAAACCTAGTTGCATGGCTGTCAACAGAACCTTGAAGAATAAAAGTCGACTGAGGGAGGAGTCTTGACTTAAATTCATGAATGAAAGGCACTTGCTGAAAAAAATAACATATCACAGTTTAGATAATCTGAATATACTTTTAAAAGAACACAAATTAAGTTGTATAGAGATAGTAAGATGATAAAATGATTGGGAAAACAGATTTATTTCAAGCCACCGTATGCTATCAGATATTTGTCCAAAACTTTAAAGGAAAGCAGAAGAAGCTCCAAGTTTTAAAATGAGGAGAAAGACTTTTTGTGGAGGATTTTGTGTTTATGAAGGAATGGATCCAACACAACACAGACAATTTGTTATTTTACCATACTATGTTTCAGTTGACATTTATAACCACACTCTGCCATGTATAAGTAACATTCATACAGAAACAGCTAAAAGAGCAAATTGAGTTACTAGCGAAACTGAGTGTCATTTTGTATTGCCCCCTACAACCTTGTCAGGTTTCACTAAGCGCATATAGTGCTTCCAGCAGGAAATGTAGCATTTAAAAACTGTAATAAACAACGAGTTGACATTCAAGCGTATGTCAGAATTGCATACTTTTGATATAGAAAGATAAAATTTGAATTAAATGTTTAACATTTGTTGAAAAACTTATTTATAACTTCATGATCGTATAATAACTGTAGATTAATGAATGAAATGTTACAGTACCTTAATCTACCATTTGCTGCTACTTAAAAACGTATTGGATTATTTGTTTTGTTTTGACAATTTTTTTTGCTGGCTATTACAGCAATATTATTCAACTTAAAATATTTTTAGGTTTTTCACAACAAGACTTCTGAGACTCTAGTTGACAATGACTCCTTAAGATTTTTCAATATGTAACTTGTGCTTTTTATCATGGCACTTTTCAGTTGCTGGCTCTTGCACGTCAATTCCACCCAGACACACATCAAATCTACTTACCAGACCAGAAGACGTAGAGAATTCACCAGCCTCAACAACCTCTTCGTCTTGGTCTCCAGAGAGGAACTGCGGCAGAGGGGAAGGGTACTTGGGGGAGTTCTGGAAGTGGACGTTGGTCAGAGTCACTCCTCCGTGGATGTGGATCTTGGAGAGAGTCTTGAGAGGTGCTCTGTGTCTGTAGGTGATGTAGTGCTGACCATCCACAGCCACCTGACGGGAGACAGCAACAAACCAAGGTAAGATGAGTGAAGAATAAGTATCAAAATCCCAATGATCCAAGCTCGGTCCAATTCCTAACCATTTGAACAATATGACTTTTCTCAGGATTGACATTTTACCACTCAGCTTATAAACAAGGCTACAGCATTATAAATACTATAGAGCCTCTAAGAATTATGCGGAAACTGGAAATAATAGGTAGTTACAATACCTTCTATGTGTTAAACTTTCAGAATAATACATTATTTTGATTCTCTATGCTACAGATGATGATACATCTGTAACATATTAAAATGATAGAATGGCAATGGTTTGGTATTTCGTGATTTATTATTATAATGTAATTTGCAATTGGAATTGTAATTGATAGTTAGGAAACATAATAAAAACGTGTGTTTTAAGGAGTATCACATGGTATACATTCTTTTAGCTGACTGAGTATGGTAAGAAAACCAATAATAATAAAGAAAATCATCGTACTGAAGATATCATCAACAGAAAAAGCAAATGAAAGTAGTGAATGGAATTGTTGGAAAATTATGCAAATTTATTATGTGAGAGGTTGTAAGGCTTGGTTATTGACTAGAGAGGTTTCTTTGACCTAATAAACTTTCCAACAACAAAAAATTAGTGGATTAAGATTCGTCATAGATAAAACGTACTCCCTTAGTAGATTTCTCATCCTTATGGAACTGCTGAAGCCAATTTAATAATTGTTAGTTATGTCCGGTGCACTGTAGAGGTCGTGTTTTGTTTACAATTTGTTTTGTGTTATTTTAGTTATTTAAAACCTTGTTTAATCAAATAAAATGATCTAATTTTAAACAATAACTCGTCTCTTAGTTATATAACAAAACAGTAAAGCATAAATCATGAAATTAACCCTAAAAAAATACGAACAAAATTTCGTAGACACTAGTGATTAGTGTCGCCGGACATGAACTAGACACAAAAATAGAGCTTTACAATTTACAATGGGATGATAAGTCTAATTGTGTTGGTTAGTCTATGGCTTTGTGCCCGGAGGAAGTGTACCTATAGCAAGTATAGTCTAGTTCTAGTATGTGTAAGTTTAGTAAGTGTCACACAAGTAGCGTGTAATAGAGGAGCAAGTATGTTTGGTCAATTCATTTAAGTACTTAATATTTAAATCAGTCTAACAGACCACAAAACCCTTCCTTCCTACTTTGATGTACATATTTTAGAAGTACCATTTTCATATTTAGACCAATAGAAGCGATAGTCATTATGATTAAACTGAGACAATACACATTTATTTGTTTTTAAGAATGCATGCTACTGACACATCTGAGACTAACCAGAAACTTGGCTGCGGTGATGTAGATTTCGAGGTAGAAAGGCTGACCTCGACGGAACGGAAACCTTTCATGATCTGATCCCTCCTCCTTACCCCAAGTGTCTGCCAGGCGGGTGTTACGAGCCGTGTACTTCTGGTCGAACCTTGGATTAAAGTGGAATCCAATGTCAGGCTTGTCTTCATCTTCTGTAGATGCAACTAAGAAGTCCACTTCAAACCTGGAATGGACCCAGTTTAAAGTTCATCTAGTTTGTCTGGTGCCTTTGTAATAATTAAGTAAAACTAGTTATTTTAAAATAGAACTTGTGTATCAATATACAGCTTAATAGTTGATCTTACCTACTGGCATTATCATTCACCACTCCTTGAACTATAATGGAAGACTGGGCTTGAAGTTGAGACGTCAAGTTGTATACCACAGATATTGACTGAAAACAATCACTTTATTAACACTAGTATAGCTACTATAGTATTGTTACAATTCCAATTCTCTATTATTTTCAAGATTTCATCGCTGTACATTCCAATGCAGTAGCGAATAAAACCTACGTTGATCTTTTTCATACACTGTGTATTGTTAAAACAAATATTTTACAAGTAGGCTATTTAACTTGCTGTTATGATACCGTAACCCCTAACATCAAAATCTCCGTGTTATCCAAGATCCTCGGTAACCAAGGGAGTCTCGCTCCCAACAACCTCGGTTAATCAAGAGTGAACTGTAATTAAATTGGGAATTTACATAAATACGTTGGCTTTTTTACGATACAATTAACTTGAATACTTGAATACTTGAATCCTGCATCTTTGACAGATCTAGTCTGATAGATTGCGTCATAATTTATAATATAATCAGATAAAATAAAACTATATACAATATTTACAAAACCATATACCTTATCACGAATTTTTTATGCATAGCGAGATGCCATATACCATATGCCATATAGACAACTGTCGGTCATCCCCATGACTCATTTAGAGCAGTATCGGATTACCGAGTGTGTTGAACTATCAAGAGTCCCAATTTAAGCTATTGATAGTTGATTATTGTCCTTATCCATTATCACTCATAGAAGTAGGCTGTGAGAAACCAAAATACTAACACTTTTTATCAGTAAGAATTCATAAAGTAAATAGTTTACATTTGACTATCAGAATACTTGTTGGATTGTTAAACCCAGGTCATTGTTAGATCCATTCTGCAAAACACACTACATTATATCATTTATACTATAATTACTTTAAGCCATTTAACTATGACCTTTAACAATCGTCTTATCTTCAAGCCAAATTCACAGAAACAGCTCTTTACTAAACATGTTGGTTGCGTTTGTAAACTATGAAGAAAATGTACTTAAATTGTTCAACGTTTTAATAAAAGCAAATATTTTATGCATAGGTACACAAAAAAGCTAAAGAACTCATGAGAACATTTTCAACCACTTTTCTGGTTTACCCAGTAGCAAAAACTAGTATTCCCGGTTGCCAAGTGAACCAATTTACTAGGGGTCAGCGAGTCTTCAGTATTTTCAGATTGGGTTGGGTTGACAGTTAACCCGAGGGAGTACATATTTCCTTGACCGCAAAAAACCTTTGCGAAAATGTGCGACCTAAAATTGAGGATTTTACCACGATCGTGAGAGGCGATTATGTCACCGTAACCACGGGAGATGTTCTCAATTTTACCATGGCTGCAGATGATGTTGACAGTTTCGCTGTGACCCTGGAAAATGTACTTTATTTAACCGTGACTGAAGACAATGTTTACAATTTTGACGTGACTGATGAAGATGATTTAGATCTCGCTGTGACCGAGGAATATTTTTACAATTTTTGATCATCGAGGAAGGTGTTTAAAATTTTTTTTGACACTACGGAATGTGTTGGAAGATTTTACTGTAAGGGCTGAAAAAGATGACGATTTTACCATGACCATAGACTAAAATCAGGTTTTCGGGGTGAAAATTTGAAATTCCCGCATAACTCCCGGTTTTACCAGTTACAATTACCGAAGGTAAGAAATGGTAGCATTAACTACCTATTGAATATAACTTTCTTTGAAATGTTGCCCACTCAAAATGCCATTATCTACACATTCCATACTCATTACAACTGTTGCATGCACACATCTATCTAATAGTTTAACATTTCACAAAACATTCCAAACTTGACAATGACATGGAACTAAGTTGCACCATTCATTATTCACTTCTATCAATTGTAAGCACTAATGCAGTGTTTTGCTAAAACAGTTTTCAGTGAATGGGCACACAGTAATGTAATTATGGAAGCAACAAAGATGGTGCAGGCAATCTAGGATAAGTGTATGATCGATAGTCATAGCTAAGATATTAAAATAAGATGAAAAATTAATTGCAAACATTTAATGAAGAAATTTGGAAATCATACAAAGATAAGAAAGAACGAATGCCTGTGTCGGACCTGTGTGACCTAACTGACTGTGTTTAAATTGGAAAAATAAACGATGTGATAATGGCCATTTTCACACAGTAAATTTGTTCACCTAACTTAATACAGTCAATGGTAATACTTAACGTTTAATTACACATGAGCAAACGAAGTTTTACATTCTCATCAAGGCATCAAACTTTGAGTGCATTTACACAGCCCATAAAAATTCAAGAGAACCATTCCAGGACTGTCTAACATCATACATGTAAACTTACCAACTACTGTTTGGCTTCTTCTTTAAAACCCTGTGATTATAAAAAATATTCAATTACAAAAGCACATAACTTATATGAAGCCCTAGAAACAATGTTTTTGAGCTAACAACTTATGATTAAATTGTCAGTTTCCCAAACTGGGAAATATAATTTATAATCAATTAGGTACTAATATAAGACTGGGGGTGCTGATTGGCATTTAACATCAATCGATTCAATAAAAAGTGAATTGATTCAAATACAAAATAATTTTTCCTTAGCCCCCGTTTGAAACACATTATGTTAGTGGCAGATAACAACCCTGTCATCCCTATCTTACAAGCCAGAGAAATTTCTTCAGATTTAAACAATGTAATTGTCAGACTACTAAGAAATCAACTTTTGAATTGGGTAAGAATATTATCTTGCTGCCACAGAATGTTGGTAAGAATTTCAAAACATATTTAAAAAAATCTCTATTGTATGTCTTTGAGTACAGCGATGCCATACATATGCTTTTTTATGTTTTTCATGGCTATAAGTGATTTTATTTTATTTTAACTGTTAGTAGCAAAGAAAATAAAGCAAACTACAGCAGAGAATATAATAAACAGACCTAAACACCAACAATTATAATAGAAAGCAATAAAGCAAATACAAAGAATTTAACCAATTAAAATATTAGTAAATCATTCTAAAAGGAGATTCAAGTGTAGGTCTAGTAATTTTTAAACCAAAAGCCTATCATGGTTACTTTGCATGTTTTTAAACATGCAGTACACTGGACATAAAAACGGACAACTGAAAGTGGACCTTCAACCTCATAGAAAGGGAGTGGAATGGAACTGCTTGGCCACAAATTATACCAAGGGTGAGGCTACATTTTAATAGATATCAAGAGAAAATTCTAAGAATCCGAATAGAGCTGTTGCAAAAATTAAAAGCTGACAGCCAAACCAATTATGATTTTCATAACCACTGTTTGCCATGAGCTAACATTTTAAAAGATCAAGCTTCTTTCCAGTCAAATATTATATTTTTATCCTATCCTACTAATATTATAAATGAGAAAGTTTGGATGTATGGATGTATGGATGTATGGATGTATGTTTGTGACAAGTGAACGCGAAAAATACTGGTCGGATTGGGCTGAAATTAGGCATGATGATAGCTCACATTCCCGATTAACATATAGGCATATTCTTATTTCAAAAATCCTTTCGGGCTCCGCCCCAGTGGCCCTGGAGTTTCCCATGTTAACCTTATGAGAAATGGAGTTATTGAATCTTAACAGCTGTTTCAACTAAACAAGTTGGTTCTGTTCTATGATGTTCAATAGCATTAAAGTTACAAGGATTACCAACAGGGTGCAGCACTATTATTTCTTTTACATTTATGACAACAGCTAATTTGCAACCAAAAGGTGAGTGAGCGCAGCGAACGAACTTCAACCTGGAGGCGAGTTAGTGTAGCGAACGAGCTAATCTGAAGGCAAGTGAGCGCAGCGAACGAGCTCCAACCTAAAGGTGAGTGAGCGTAGCGAACAAACTTCAACCAGGACGTGATTGAGCCATGCGAACGAGATAATCTTGAAAATTAAGAAGTTAAACGGGGCAAAGCCCGCAGGTTACAGCTAGTTTTTACATATATTGAGAAGTTAAAAATCAAAGAAGTATAAAAAAATCAAAACAAACTGAAATACAGGTGGCAATGGAGAGAAGAAGAAGTATCATGATTACATCAGTTTTATTTAGTCAGTGGCAGTGATAAGACAGTGCTGGCCAGCTTGTACAGTTTTAATCATTTTATCAATTTTTAAGTCCATTTTATCTATTTTATCAACATGACAAGGTTCAATTATTGTTTTTGTGGCAGTTTTTTAAAGAACCTATTGACATACCACAAAGTATTAATACATTGATGATGTGGTTGTACATAAAATTACCTGATGAAGTACTAAGGAACAAAACTAGTCATCATACCAACAATTGTGGTTGGACGAGGTTTAATCATTTTATTTGATCTTTATCAATAATATATTCCAACCAAGGGTCACTATTTTGCTGGAATATTTTATATCTTCCTGATCGTAACGACAAACATTCCAAAAATATACCAAGCAATAATTAATATAGCTGAGTATGCATACCTCAGAAGCAGAAGTTTTGCTTAGGTTTTAGCACATTATAGATCAAATCCCCCTTTATCCATTTAAATAGTTTAGTAATACAAATAATCATAGTGGTGTACTCTAAAAGTAAAACCGCAAGGCGTGCGAAGGGTTAGTTTATTTTGGTTTATATACCAAGCCGTACGTAAATTACTCTCAGTCCAAGAATGTCATCGTTTACATACCTGGTTGTTGGTGGAAGGAGAAGACTTGGACTCGGGAAGTAGTAGCAACTGTGGTAGAAGTGATGGATAGTATGAAGTAGACGATACTAACACCTGGGATAGTCGCACCCCTCCAGTCACCCTCAGACCAACCACACTGGCCACGGGGGCTCGGTGTTTGTATGAGCAGTAGTGTAAACCATCTACGGCAACCTAACCAGACAGATATAGGTTGAAAACTTTACTTAAAGATACACTGATTCTCAATTCACTGATTCTTGACTTTGACATCAGTAAGGAGAATTGATCGTTGAGTCAATGCCGATACCAATACCTAGCCGAGGAATAAAAAAATTTAAGTTTGAGATTCAAAAGATATTTTTTTCTCTTTGACAAAAAACATTGCTGCAACTAAAAAACGATGAAGAAAGATCAGCAATATGTTTTTGCTTATCTCCTGAAAAATGTTACTGTCAAACCATTATTTCTATGTACAATTGGACAATTTTTTGTATAACCAGTTCTTTAATACTTTTTATACTTTGTGATTGAAATGGCGACCATACAAAGTAGGTATTTTAAGCCAAGTATGAATGGAAATGAGTGCACTATCTTGTAGTCTTGTTAGTAACTAAGTACGACATATTCCTTAGGCACAGCTGTTAACACGTTCGCGGCGGCATGGGAGCGATCACTCCCATATGGAACCCTAATGCCATCCTGGTGAGTGCGATCGCTCCCAAGCTGCAATGCAGTACGAAATGATTTATTTTTAAGCCAGGATTAGAGCTAGAAACTTGAAACCTCACACAGCACTGCTCAATAGTATAGTGTATTTTGTTGTGGTGTAGGTTGGTAGTAAATTTCCCCGTAAAATCCCCATCTGGCAATCTCAAAAATCTACTTTTTGTCCCGTCTTTTTCCCTCCATTTGGCAATACAATTCCAATGGGATCGGCTACGTCCCAAGCAGTGCTGCTATCTGTGGGTGTTTAGCGAACTACGTTGACTCTCGTTGTAAAGCAGGACATCCTCGCACGTTATTTGCTATTCGTCAGACCGAAATTGGAAAGCCAATCACACGCGGCAATTGGGTTTGTTGGACGCTGAGGGCTGCGCCGCACTGGGGATACGCCCGCCATTTGATGTGCCGCCGCGAACGTGTTAATTAATAGCCTACACAGCTAAAGGCAACTAAGCGACCTACAGTTTATAGTGGAATCCGAACCACATTTTTGACTTGGTATTAAATTAATGAATTAGTCTAATTACCAGCATAGCACTGCGGATAGTCGTAGCCACTCACTAGTTCGGACGTTAACCCACAATTTGTTCCCTTAGTAATAGTGTAGATTTAAAAGTGTTCATCTGTTCAAATGTAAAAAAATCTTTTCTCCAGTAAGATAATATGAAACTTTAAAGGCCACTGGGGCAGATCCCTGATGGAATATCTTGAAAATGCATTTTATTGCACATGTAGAGCTTGGATTCCTCCATTTCTATTGCTGAGTTGTAATGACTCGTAGATTTTTAGATAAAGTGATCAGTGAGTGAGTGGTATTTGCAATGTCAGACAACCGGCGATTGTCTTTCCACTCACCAAATTATCGTACTGATTCTTATGTTATGTAAGCATTGTATACTTGTTGCAGCTGTATTCGTACAATTTTCCAACATATTCACAAATATTTTACATCTGTATACACAGTAGACCCCCTCTTTCTTTACCAACCTCGCATTAACCGGTAATCGTAATATCCGCCCTCAATCGTAAAATATTACAGTTTGTTTTAACTGACATTGCTTTGAGAGCAGTTCGGTTTAACCACCTCTTTCTAGGAATCTTTGCATTTCCGCTTCCACGCTCGGCGATGGGACCCATACGCTTATCTACACAGGATGTGAGTAAGAATAAGTTATTTTGTATATACATAGGGTATCCCAAAAAATGTTGTTTCTGAATTGAAAACAACTGCTATTTTTGTAATATAATTTAGAATTATCTTATCACTAAAGTAAACAACAACACAACTTGTAGGGTGGGCAGGGGAGAGGGGTTAACAACTCCAAGGTCAAGATAGTTTTTGTGACTTGAGCCTCCAGTGAGAGGTAGGAATAAATATCCTGTCTTGTACCAAAATGTTTGTACTCCTTTAAATTGTGAACAAAATTGTAAAAATTATTTTTTGTAATAATTACGGTTCCAAAGTTATTGTAACTTATGTTATTTTCCCATTAAAACCCCTTAAAATAGCAAAAATCCAATTTTAGGAAAAAAGCACACATTAATATGATTTAAATTAATGTGTTATGGTACCGGTACTTATAATTCTAAACAAAATAGTGCAACCCCCATTGCTGTAGCAATAAGGGTTCAAAATTTATTGCAACTTTTGTGATTTTCTCTATATAGAATATCATAGTTATTCCCATCGCTTAAATCCATGATAAAGGTTGTTGACATGCTTATGGGAGAAAGTATGTGTCAGAATGCTGATACCGTTTATTTTATTTTCAATTGTATAATTTATCAAAAATCTTGGCAAGACTTTTGCCTTTTAGATTACATAACAAAACCCAAAACTTACAAGGTACTTGACATCAGTGGTGCAGATCTCTACAAGGAACGGTTGCCCACAACGGAAAGGAAACTTGGTTTGACTAGCTCCCTCCTCCGTTCCCCATGCACCAGAAAACCGAGAGTTACGAGCCGTGTACAACTGGTTGAGCCGAGGATTGAAGTGGAACACAATGTCTGACTTCTCCCCCTGGCCTGCTGTCAAGTCTACTTGAAACCTGTCAAAAAAAAATTTTATACTGGTAGTGTATTGTTTAATTAATAAGATAGGATATCTTGGATGTGGAGAGCATTGATAGTTCATTCAGGATTTTTGTAACTGACAAGTGGTTTTGTGTACGATAGCTGTTTATTTGGCACAATTAGTTTCATTTTTCCCACTTCATCGAAGGTGTAAAGCATAGCTCAAGATATTGTGTCCCCTATAATTTCTTTTAAAACTAAGATTTTAGCACATTGTTAGATGCACGTCATGTTACTTTTGGTATATTCTTAGACAACAAAATTTTAAAGCTTGTAACAATTTAATAGATAGTAAAAGAGGAGTGTTCATTTTGGAGGTGTTGCCTTCTGGATTACTTTTTAACAATATTATTCTAGAGGTTTGGCCTAAACACCCTTTGTTGGCAACCTAATCCATTGGTCGTCTGGATAGCGACCGCTTTTGACACTCAAGGTGTCTGCCAAGCACTAAATTGTGTTGTCGCTTCTAGGAGGTTGTCAAGAAGTCTTTAAAACAAAAACACAAGTACAACACGACCAAATATTTTCATGAATAATACAGTATGGCCATACAACAACACTAATGATCATGGCACGGCTTTGGGTTCTGGTTGTTGAGTCTAGATTTACAATACATAAAAAAAGGAGTGGATCCACTCACCTTGTAGCATTATCATCAACAACACCTTGAATGATAAAGGTTGTATTAGGTCGAAGCCTCCCATAAAGTTTGTAGAAAAACGGAACCACCTAAAAACATAAATAAATGAGCTGTTGAACTATTTCACAATAGACATACAGTGATCAAGCAATTAGCGAATTTCCCATAAAGGAAATAGGCTAATAGTGAATTTCCCATATAGGAAATATTAGCGAATTTCCCACATAGGAAATATTAGCAAATTTCCCATATAGGAAATATTAACATATTCCCCATAGGTATAGGAAATACAGTATGCCTACTGTTACCGAATTTCCCATATAGGGAATAAGCTATTGTTGTCGGTCTTATGGTCAGATATATTAAATAATGGTACCGGTAGCCTATGTGTCTCCGTTAACTTGATAACTCAAGCAAAGATCATCTGGTATTTTTAGAGGTATTTATTAAGGCTCAGATGTAACTTTATAAAAAAAATGTACATTAACACAAAACAATAGTTCAAAACTGTAAAAAATGTAGCCTGAGCCTACTATAATTTAATAGGGTATTTAGGAATTCAATGGAGTGAAGCCCAGTTATGAGTTGGTTTATCAATTATTCAAGCAAATCTTTAAATTTGAAGGTCGCTAATTTGATTCTAAGCTAAATTGTAACTTGACCCAGATGCAATTGGTCATTGAGCAATTTACTTAGTGATGATTAGGCCTACGGTATAGTCGAACCTATTGAAGACGAATTTCAAGAGGCAGGGGAAAAATTTGTATGATCGAGGTATTTTTAATAAAAATGTTCGTTTCATCGAGGTTTAATACTGCCGTTATTTGTCATATAGATGTTTCTCCTCACTCTGAGACAATGACTGAGGAAGGAAGAGGGATAGGTGTGGGTTTGATGTTGAGATAATCTTCTGTTTGTTTTAAAAAGGAAATACGAAGGCTACTATAGAGGTTAAAATCATGAGAAATTTGTCTTATAGAGGTTGCATTCGTCTTGTTGAGGTTTTGTGCTAATAATTCGTTGTATAGAGAATCACTCCTAGCCCATGCCACAAACAATATCCGCCTTATGGAGGTTTTTAACCTAATTACTTTAGCATTGACCTTTATGAATGTTTCAATGCGATTTAAAAAAAATATGTTTTAACGAGCTTCGTACTAACAAGTTTGACTGTAGGATCAAAAGTCCGATGTAGGAGATAAGACTAAGACCAGGGTTTAGACCCCTTACAAAAAACTAAATTTAAAACAAATATGCCACCGGCTAACTTAGGTAAGTTAGGTCTTGGGCCTAATAAACAAAATTTGAAAAAGTAAGTTGGCATCTCAAAAACGGCAAGTCAACTTTACAGCATACTTAAGCTACTGAGAACTTCCCAATGATTGAAGCCTCGTTCACACGGTTGGAGTTTATAAGCTACTTGCCGGCGTGTAAGAAGCCGGCGAGTCGGCGAGTGCGCTTGTGGTCATTCACACAATGTTTTTTCCACTCGCTCAGTAGCTAGCTTGAACCAAATCCTGACATTTTTGAAAAACATCCGCACAAGCAACTGTGCTCACACTGGGCTACTTTACACGCCTACTCGCTCAAACGCTGGCGAGTTAGTGTTTAAAGTAGTGGCAGCGTCAACTTTTTCCAGAGCTTTTTTACAAGCAGCTTTTTTAGCGAGTACGTCATTCACACTGAGCTATTTTACTAGCAGCGTGTAAAAAAGCCGGCGTATAGCTTGTAAACTTGCTCCTTGTGAACGGGGCTTAACTTAATGAAAGTGTATTAGTGTAGAATAAGTTAGGCCTACTTTTTTCTCTTATTATGAAGTTAGGCTACATTTTTCACTAGGCAATTAAGCTTTTAATAGCTAATAATCTCTTTTATTACAACAGAGGAGAAACATTAAATCCCCTATTTAAGGTCTAAGTCAGTACCTACCTATGCTAAAATATATTTTTGCAAATCTAGGCCTAGGCCTGTCATAAAAAGGTTGGTAAAATAGAAGACGATGTAGATGTAAGTTTGTCAATATAATATGACGTTTAAAATTGCCCAATGTGAAAAATCTATCAAGGGACATGTTATACAGTAGAAAACTTATGTTAGCTAATAGCCTTCATTGAATGAAACAAATATTATATTACATACCGGTCTATCGATCAAAAACTCAACACCTTCTTCTTTATTATTATGTACATTACTGTTAAAATCGAAACATTTCATTTTTCTGATTATTTGAGTAGGACCTACACTAGTTTTGTAACAGTATAGTGATAATTTTTTCAAACCACATTAGAGTTGGTGTTGGAACACTTCAGTTTTGAGGTTTGACGTTTTGTTTGACAGGTGAGGTATAGGTACACTGTATTCACAATATTATTAATCAATAATCACATGGAGTTGATTACGTTTACGACGAGTAAGACTAAGACTGGAGCACTGGAGCGAGGCATTGGAACAGTGTTGCCCCATATAGTCAAGGACCATAGGTTATAAACTTCATCCATAAAAATATTCTTGGAAAACATCCTGTCCCCGAGGCACTTTCCTTTGGTGCTTCAAATAAAAAGGGGTCCTTGGGACGGAACCCCCAGCAAGCCAAAGTAGTGGGGCCTTGGCTAAAGGCGAGTCAATATTTTTGTTATTTGTTCAATGTATTGAAAATTTGTCATTGGGAGTAAAAAAGCAAAAAAAAATGAGAAAGTTTTCCTTATAATAGCAGTCTTCTGGTATTGACTAAGCGAGTAATGCTCCATACTATGTTATGGTTTTATCCAACTACAACTACTGTTACTATTTTAATCAAAGTTATTGGACTGAAAAGAAAACTAACTGGCTGCTTTAACTCCAAAGGTCAGATCCCGCAAAAAGACAAAAGTTGGAGGGAAAAGTATTGTAATTGTATAACAAACATGGTGTCGTCGACATTGCAATGAAAATAGTGTTACATTCATAAGTGAATTCCCTTTGTGTTTACAATAATTATTTATCCCTTACTTCTTTCTGAAAGAGACTGTAAATATATAAAGATGAACTTCAAGGTGTATACGCCTTGGATGAACGTAATGGGAAACATGCACGCCCGGCAGTCTGGTTTTAGTGAGTATTGCATTTGTTTGAATAGCATATTTTTTAGCCTAGGACCTAGGTTTGTGTATAATAGAATAGAAATCATTATTTCAGAAATTATCAGTTTTGAATAACTGTTAGGTCATTCCCATAAGAGTATAGCTTTGATCCCGTTTTGAAGCCCGTGTAAGGATCCTAAACTTAGTCAATACCCAGTCTGGAATTTTTAATGTTGGTGGGAAGTTAACCTCCTGAAATAAGTTATCAATGAAGGGATAACTTTACTAGATGTCTAGAACTCTGTAGATCCTGCCCTCATCAAATTCACACGATAGGCCCTAGAAATAAAATCAAACTAACTTAACTAACCAAACGATAAAAAATCGAATAATCGCTATATCGATCGACATTTTCATTAAGTTTGGGATGTTGGTGCCAAAAGATACGAGAGTCTACCCCTGTTCTAAACTAACCTAAGTTATCTAACCAAACTTGCTGTAGGCCTAACATTTCAAAAATCTTTTTTGATAGCAAATTCCCAATAGGTAGGCCTACCTTTTCTGTTATCAAACGGAATTTTGAAACGGTAACTTAGCCTACAGCAAGTTCTTGGTTAGTTATGTTAGGCAAGTTTGAAATAGGTTTCAAATAGTAGAAAATAGTAAAATAAAGTAGGCCTACAAACACTCATAAGTTAATTCCGTCAAAACATCTAGGCTAATTATTGGATTTCCCGTACATCCTATAGGCCTATAATATGACCCAGATAAAAATAACTTTAATGACTTACCGTACCCCATGTGTTACCGTATGCAGTTTTATGTAAGGAATAAAAACATCTAGGCCTACATCATACAAAAAATAGATTTGTCCTAAAAAGTTCTAGCCTACACAAGACTTATTTTACACCACACTAAGTTAGGCTACGATATTACAATATAACTAGTCTTTATTGCCACTTGCTGTGATATTTATCATATAGCCTATTTTTTTTCTCAACTTTGTTTTGTTAATTAAGTGTAGGTAGTAGATAGCTGTAATGGTCACACGCATGTATTATTACGTCATCTTTTTTTTGGCCATCTGTATATAATTGCAATGTGAAATTTAAAATGGTGTTTGCCGTATACAAATGAATAAATAAATAAATATTTTGACGAACTTCCCACGCAAGGATTTAGTCCAGAAAACAGCTGTTTGCCGCCAGCTTATTCTAATGGGGTTTCATTGCGTACTACTGTACTGTAATGAGTTTTACCGGACACCAATCAGCTGGTTGTACTGTATTTAGGTAGCAATGAATGGTTAAACAAAAACATAACCTCTAACTTAATAGTGATTTTTAGTCCTTTATTTGGTGGAAATATATAAGGATTTGTAGATTTAGTAGTATGGCGTAAACTGTCGTACGTAACTCGTCCAAAATGTGTGTACTGGACTCGTATGGTAAACACTTAGGGCCTATATTCAGGACTAATAACGTCACAATATAGGCTACCTACTATTTTTCAAAATAACAACATTTTATTTTTCAAATTTTGTAAAAAGATTTAAAAAGTTTTACACAAGCAGCTAACTATATAAACACAGTTTTATAACATTTTTATACTTTGGTTCATTGTTTCTCAACTTGTTAGGTTCTAGGATTTGAAGACCGTGAAAGTAGCTACCAGTACTGTAAGTTTACCTATTAAGTCCAAATAGATAGGCCTAACTTAGTCTCTCCTTTTATTACTTCACAGGCAAAAAAATCGAGGAAATTTTAGGAAAGGCCATGGTTACCAGGCCACTTTCCACTGCAGTTAAACCAGCCTAGATCTTTAGATATGTAACAAGACCCCTCTTCTTTTTATACCGACCTTAAAACCATAAGTTATTTTGTTTTCAGAAGCTGATAATAATTATGATGTGGCTATTAGGATGCTGGGATCTTTAAACAAGGATGAATATAGAACAATAACAGCTTCACAGGAAATTGGTTCTGAGCCTCCTGTTTTTGCCTGTCGTTTTTGTAAAGTTTATGGCTATGAGAATCTATTAGCTCTTGCAAACGAAGAAGGGGCTATTGTTATTCAGGATACATCATTATCTAATCCTTGTAAATTAGATAACATGGTTACAAGTAAGTAATGTAGAGTAATTTATTTATTTAGTTACTTGCTTTAGTGGTTCAATAGTCTTTACTTTACTGTTATATTTTAAAGAGTTATATAGGAATTGTATTGGCTATGAGTTATTGGATTAAGTCTTAATTGTATTACATTTCCTTAGAAGTGTGTATATCCTGCCTGAACTTAGGATTTAATGAAGTTATACCCTAGATGAAATATTTGATTACCGATATAATTTTAGTATTCTTGAACTTAAGTAGTAAATATTCAATACGTGGTCTCTTGTTTTGCCCAAAAAAGTATTTAAAAATTAATTAATTTCCTTTGATAAAAAACATGCTCTACAATATTTTAAGATAAACAATGTTTCTTAACCATATTATGATGGTTAATTCTCAGTAGGAACCTAGAACTTCTGTATTAAAAAGTACGACATTTACTTTTGCATACCTGTACAGAGACCCAAGGCCATTTGAACGCCATCTTTGACCTGGCATGGTCACCGCACAGTCTCCGCCTTGTGTCAGTGTCTGGCGACCACACGGCCATCATGTGGGACGTCTCTAGAAACAATCTTGATCCTCTCAGTGTTTTTGAGGGCCACAGTCGCAGTGTTAAGGTCGCCTCATTCCATCCAACCGATATAAGTAAGTTTCTAATAAACTTAGGTTTATTTGTGGTTCATAATGTTGATACTACACCAGTCTAAACCTGTTAATATAGAACCATGGTGGGACATTACTTATCAGTCTAATGGCTCTCGTTTGTAGGACAAACAAGGACAAACAAATGGCACAAGGAGGTTAGCTTGTGGGTTTGTTGTTGTTGTTTCAAATTTTATTAGTATAGGCCTCCCTTTGGTTGTTTTGTTGGTTTTTGTTTTGCTGGTATTTTTGTCAATGTTATTGTTGTTGTTATTAGATCGTTATTATATTGTAAAAATTTTTTTCTAGTCTATAAAGCACAAAATTTGCTATTATCAATTATCAACTATGTATTCTAGTCTTCCACTTTCAGTATTATGTAAACTCACTCTGTTTTTGTTCCTTTTTGCATTAGACTGTTAGTAGTAAGTTAAATTTCTTTATTTACAATGAACTATTTAATTCTTTCATACTGTTTTCGGTTGTGTTTGTTATATTACGGTATAAGCCATCCTGAGTTATATTGTTTTGATTTGTATGGCTGTAAAATGGAGATGTCCGTTGAGAATAAATAAATAAACTTACTATAAAAAAAAAGAAATGGCCCAGAGGATGACACTATAAGTAAGTTAGATGACAGTTATCAAAACTAAAGTAAACTTTTTTTACAAAAATAAAAAAAAAATTAATTTAATTTTCTAAAAATATATATATTCAGCCTATAGGCCCTAACGAGATGTTTGAAGCAATCAAATAAATTAGAGAAATCCTTTTCAAGTTGCTCTAACTTGTATCACCTAATAATTTAATTTAACAGGAGGTAAGGCACTCTTAAGGCCCGTTTTGCCAGAAGCGTCTCGTGCGTCTATCCCTGCCCGCTGCTTTGCATTGTTTTAGGTTAGTCTATTTTGCCAAAAGCGTCTATCGCTACAGCCACCAGCGTCTGTAACTGAGACACTAGCGTCTGACGCGGACCACTGCTCCTGGAGCAGACGGAGACGCAGACGCTAGCGATTATTACTGGAATAAGCACGTGTTTAGTTGTTGACTTAACTTTTGTTTCCTTAAATAGGTTGTGTTTTCAAGTTTAGTGACATGTCACAACCAAAGTGGAGATTCAATAGTAAGGAAGATAAAAAACTGAAATCTAGATGATACTAGAAAAACTTGGTCTCATTAGAGTGGAGGTGATTTTCAATTAAAATTTAAATTATCCCTCTTCAGGTCTCTTTAAAAACATAGTGCGCACTCCTTCCCTAGGTTTTCACAACATTTCTAATATCTCTTCATCGTCAAATTCCTCAGCTAACAAATACTTTACTATTTGCTTTTTACAGCTCATTTTCAGAATCACTCCTTTCGCCACCAAAGTAAACCACTCACTGTAAACCATCAAATAATCGCAAGGAACGGACGCTTCTGGCAAAATAGGCTCGAGCGATAGACGCTGAGCGATTATCGCTCTAGCGATCGATCATCGCTGAGCGTCAGACGCAGCAGACGCTTTTGGCAAAACGGGCCTTTAGAGTTAACAAGTCATTTCCAGATTTTGAGTTTTAATAATGAAACAACAGTTTATTAGCCTTACAGTTGGATATTATACCAAGCTCTTCAATTAAAAACCCATCTTGGACATTGTATTGTAGATCATTGTCATACATTTCATACACAATGAAAAAAGTGGAGGTCCTAAAATGGACCGCAGCGGAACCTTGTTTGGAGCAGCTTTGAAAATGATTCATAAGGTAAACAGCTTTAAAGGCTTGTTCATTGCATAAAAATTTTAGTTATTGCTTTCTAGAAGAATAAGCTAGTAAAATGTTAAGTTTTCCAACTGAACCTTCATTAAAGGTGTGTTTTTACCAAGAGTCGTTGCTCAAAGCTAATACATTTAACAAAGTTTATACATTTAACAAACAATACATTAATACATTTAACATTTAACTGAATTAAAAATTGTCCTAGATGTGTTTGCCACTGGTGCGAGGGATGGAATGGTCATTATGTGGGATTATCGGTGTTCCCAGCAGAACACGCTGACAATCAGGCCTGACAACGTCATCTCCAATGCTCATTGTCCACCTGGTATGTATTGAAGGAACTAATTAAAAAGGTTGGCAAATGCCATCAACCAAGCTTTGGTAGGAAGATAATTTGATGTAATTACTAACTAGGCCTATATCTACTATGTTAGCTATGTTGAGCTGTAGCCTACACTAAACACTGGTGGATAGGAAAATATAACTCACTAGCTGTACTCGCGGGCTTTGCCCCGTTTAACTTCATAAGTGAGCTCGTTTGCATGGCTCAATCACGTCCTGGTCGTTCAGGTTGGAGCTCGTTCGCTGCGCTCACTTGCCTTCAGGTTAGCTCGTTCGCTACGCTAACTCGCCTCCAGGTTGAAGTTCGTTCGCTACGCTCATTCACCTTTTGGTTGCAAATTAGCTGTTGTCATAAATTAAAAAAATAATAATAGTGCTGCACCCTGTTGGTAAACCTTGTAAATTTAATGCTATTGAACATCATAGAACAGAACCAACTTGTTTAATTGAAACAACTGTTAAGATTCATTAATTCCTTTTAAATATGAAAAATCATAAGGTTAACATGGGAAATTCCAGAGCCACTGGGGCGGAGCCCGAAAGCCCAATCAGAATAAAAACTACTTAGTTTTCCTATTTAATGCCCAAAGAATCAGTGTACCGAATTTCAGCCTCCTAGGTAAATGGGAAATGGGAGAATTAGTGATGAGTGAGTCAGTGAGGGCTTTGCCTTTTATATATTTAGATTTGTCAGTTATCTACTCTAAACTTTGTATAGTGTGAAATGGCTGATTTTTTTCTCATTACCAATTATCGTTACAGGATCTTCAGGCAAGAAAACCAGAAGGCGTGAACCATCAAGAGCCGATAGTATTACGGGGTTGGTGTTCCAGGATGAAAACCATCTGATATCGTGTTCAGCTGGAGACGGGTAAGTAACTAGTAATTATCGTGGTCAGTGTATCTAACCTCAAATAAGGCAGTTTAGCGATAAACTAATCCAGATAAGTAAATAAAACCCTTAGAGATTTCTAAGTTAGTAAAAATGTGAAATATGCCCAGAATTGATCTTGGTGTTAAACAGTTTTGCCTAAAATTGAAATCCCCCTTATAAGATTAGGCCTAATCATTTTTTTGCCAGTTAACTAAAGACTTTAATCACAAAGAGGTTGGCCGTTTGTAAATCTTCCGAAGAAATGAACCAAAGTCATATTGGGAAAGTTATATTTTGTAACGAAACATTTTAAACCTCTGAAAACTGAGTTCTTTAGATAGGTTGATGATAGTTTGTTTTATTTTCAATAAATGAGGTTTATCTCATTTTTCACCTAGCATTTTCTACATAACACTAGTGTTTCATACCTCAAAGAATACATTCATGAGGCCTGATTTTGATAGTGAAAGGTGAATAAAAAAACATAAGATTGCCAGCTAAAGTGACTGTGATGAGAGAAAAATAAGCAAAGCCTCATCGACAAGAAATTGAATCTTTAAAATTCAATACAGTTTACGCTTTTCGTATTTGAATAAGACTATTCATTAGTGAAAATGAATGATCCGAGATAATAATGAGGAATTCACCATAATTGTAAGTAGGGTGTGAATATTTGTTTAAGGGTTGTTGAATTGGGTTTTCGGAAGTCGGTTGACAGCATTTTTGGTCGTCGCGTAGCTCACATCAACTGGTGTTTGACTCTACTCTGTCAGGTCGTTAGGTCTCGTGGGCCCTTGACTTACAGCAGTGTTATGTTTCAGTGTGATCAAGGTGTGGGACACTCGCAAGTGCTACTCCGTGTACAAGAGAGTGCCGCAGCCCTGTGCTAGTCTGTCACATCCCGGAGACTCGGGCAAGACTGCCTTCACCAGCCTAAGTGTGGATCCTGGTGGTGTCAGGCTCTACGCTAACTGCATGGACAACAACATCTACTGCTACAATATCGCTGGCTACAATAACCTACCAAGTAAGTGCAATGCCTAAGAACACAGATATAGCCTACCAATGTAAATGAGGTGGAATTCTCCAAATACCTGAGGCTAGACTGTCTGGCTCTGGTCCAAAAAAGGTTGAAGTATCTAGGAAGGCTGCAAATCAAGCCTGAGAAGATTAGAGGACTAGGCGTCTCACAGCTGTTAGACTTTGCCAATTGCCTAGGGCTGTCGGATTGTACAGAGGGGTGCTACCAAAGATAAGCATGTTGAAGTAGCTGGGGGTTACTTTACCCCGCCCAAAAAAACCCCTATTAAGTACTATATTTTGAACCATAACTGTGTTCAGCCAACCTGGAAACGGAATTGTTTCTCAATGTTGATGACTGAAAAAAGATCTGTAAATTTTTGCAATGAACTGAGATTTAAAAATTTTTAATTCCCCAAAAGATCAGCCTGAAATCACAGGTTTTGCTCGTTGTGTGTCATCGAAAATAGGCAAATGAACTACAGACGTTGCCACAAATTTAGTCTAAGTTGCCACGATCACGAGAAATTATCATAGATTTCACCGAAGTCGCAAAGTGATAACACAGGTGTCGCCACATTCGCAAAAAGTAATCGCTGGTGGTGTGATAATCAATGGAGATGGTTTCGGTTTGTTACCGTATCACAGTTATTGCCACGATCGCGAGAAATAATCATTGTGTGCAAATATCATCGCCGGAATTATAAACGAATGATGCTGAGCCTGAAAGACATCATTATTCATCACAATAACTAGTAAAGCATTTTCAGTTAAGTAGTTAAGGAAATTAATTCTAATATATGCATGGTGAAGGAGGTTATGATAAAATAGATGGTTGATTGAGGTTAAACTGTGCTTTTGAGTTTCAGAGAATGAGAGTATTGTATTGTTGCAGTCGCTCAATACTATGGCCACACTAACCAGACTTTCTACACCAAGAGCTGCCTGAGCGGGGATGGTCAGTACTTGTTGTCTGGCTCAGCAGACTCGAAGGCGTACATATGGAATGTGCAGCATTCGAGCCAACCTCTGGCAACCCTCGTAGGACACTATGCAGAGGTCACATGCGTTGATTGGGCAGACAATAAAACCGGAGACATCAGGGTAAACACATGTCACTTTTGGTATTTTATTGTGTTTTTATTTACGTCATTGGTATTTTTAACGTTTTTTAGGGAACAATTCAAATCCCCTCTTTGTCTGCGGTTTACCAAATAATATGATCCAAACCAATGAAGAATATTACCTGTGAGTTCAATTTTACTTAGTTTCTGAATTTGTAGATCTTGATTTACACAGTCAAATGCTTTGGGCCCCAATTTCGCACAAAGGGCGGGAGCGGTTTTCAACACCATTGAGTTAATTGAGACTGTTTGTGCACAAAGAGCGGGAGCGGTTTTGTAGCGCGAGTGTGTTTCAACACGATGGAGTCAAAAGAGACTAGAATGGCCAACCTACCTATGCGCACGTGCATTGTCTTCGGGAATTGAAGTGATGGGAGTCTGCGGAAGACGAGCAACACTTTCCAACTGAATAGTTCATTGATGAAATGGGACAAAGGCCGTGTATTTGGGACAATCATAGCGATGATTTTAAAAACAGAGATTTATAGAAGCAGCAATGGCTAGAATGGTTTTGCCCAAACTTCAAAGACTTTTTGCTTTTTAATTATTAAATAAGCGCTACAAATAATAATGAGATCCATTGCACTCGTATGCTAGACCAGTACTGTCATTATTTGGCAGAGTTAGTGTTGGCAAGACTGTGTCCCCCACTCCCTTTGCCGTTGCCCAACCACTACCGCTATTTCTTGCACAATTTTGCAGAATTTTCACAGAGGGAGCGAGACCGCTATCGCCCTCATGCATAAGTGTTGCCTTAGACAAATCACAGAACAGACCAGCTGCATTCTGTGATTCATCGAATGCAGACAGGGTTTTATTAACCAAATTTTAAAGAGCTGTTTTAGTGTTTATGTTTTTTTCCGGAGCCAAATTTGGTAATTATGAAAGGTAAAATTATTTTCAAGATATCTGCTTAGAATATTACATATAACCTTTTTGAAAGTTTATGAAATGTTTGAAAAGCATCTCCACAAAATGACTCACACAATAAACTTACTCGTACCCACCATACTTTGCCTTATGCTAAGACACTTGTTTTCTGTTGTACCATTGCCTTTGGGATACCGAAATAAGACATATTATCAATATCGACCAGCTGTAGCAAAATGTTCATTCAAATTCAATATAGTTGAATTAATTCTCACAAGGTGTGATAGTTAATAAACCGAGGGAACACTGGACGGATGAAGTAAAGAAAGATATGGCCAGGATTGAAGTCAATGAAGATACCACAAGAGACAGGGCGACGTGGAGACAGTGTGTTGGTGAGGCCAAGTACCACTTGGGGTACAAATGGCCATGGGAGTAAGTAAGTAAGGTGTGATTGAATCAAATTGTGATATTTCTCTTTCAATACTTTGATCATTGGTGTGATCAAACTAATCTCTCTATGACAACATTTTAAAAAGTCCCCCAGGTGATAAAACATTGTGTGTTTGTGTGTGTTCTTGAGCTCTTTGTTAGTCTAATGTTGTAATGATGGTGTGACAGATAGTGACTTGTGCAGACGACTCTTGCCATAAAGTGTGGCAGGTGTACCCACCCAACGACAAACTCGACCTGAGCGAATTCAGTGGTCGGGTGCAGTACCAAAAAGATTTCAACTTAGAAAAAATGCAACTGAAAGGCGAGGTCAAGCAAATTTACAGAACTTCACGACTTTCGCGACCGTCATGGCGTAGACGCCCACGTGAGTATAGAAATACTAGTTCAACATAAACTAGCAGGGACAAGGTCCAAGCAAAAGATAGTTTCGGAATAAAACTTGTCCAAACATTGCCAACTAAAATGTGACAAACAAAATTAATATCCATCTTCTTAAACTAATGGGGATGTATGTACTAATAGGGTTCCATTTTTTAACGGTTTGGTTCCAGTTAGGTTTTTGGTCAAAAACCTTTACTGGTTCCGGTACAAATAAAATGGGAAACTAAACTATACTCTCCAGTGAATAGAGTATTTTCTGCAGTTATTATTATTCTTTGTACTCTGTTGTTGTTGTTGTTGCTGCCACCCTTGTAAATGATATAATTGTACTATTTCTTTGTAGCCATCTTGATTATCTATATCTATACTATTATCTATATCTATATCTATATCTATATCTATACTATTATATAAAAATCTAATGGTGTCTGTATGTGTGTTACTAATAGGTGCAAAAACTACTGAACCAACTGGGCTTAAATTTTACAAAAATATAGCTACCATACCAAGGACCATTATAGAATTATTCACATTTCGATACTGACCGTAGGCTTTGCCCCTTTGGCTTTAAAAGTTCTGAGGTGAACATTTTAAAAGTAAATATTGATTGGTCTCCATGGCTGCGATGAGAACACTTACAATGTTTGTTTACATTTGCTTTGACATTTAAATGTAAACAAGAAGAACTGCTAAACTGCATATTTCACAATTTCAGACAGCTGATACAAAGAAATTAAATATAATATTTTCCATGACTATGAGGTAGGTTTATTTTAATCTAACCTTATATCATGGATTATTTATTCTAAAACTATGTCAATGATTATAGAAAAAAAAAGATTCTATAACCCTTGCTGTATCAACTCCGGCTCTGCTTTGGATTTTTAAAGCGTCTAATTTATGAAACCAGTAGTCAACCATGCCTCATCCCACTCAAAATCTGATTTTAATAGCTGCTACTCTTCAAAAATAATAAAACAACTGCCTCCAAACTGCAACCCCTCAGAACTGAGAAGATGGGAACTAAGCTACCAATGGTTCACCCATTCTAGAAACCCACCAAACCTTAATCTAAGATAAACCCCATTCCTCACCTTCCATAGCAGGCTAGTGTATATAAAAAATGTTAATATGTGTGTGTACATATGTGTAAATATAGAACAGTGTAAATATAGTGGATTATTCATAATAAGTGAACACATTCATACATATGCAACAGTAAAAACAATTTTTAGTCTCTTCATCTGTGTTGGCAACCCTGACAAGGTGCAATAGATTCAAATTGCAACTGCCATTGCCATTTCTCCAATCTCCAGTGGTTGAAAAAGTGGTCAGTGACCACGAAAATTTCTACTTTTAATTTTGTGATGTGTTATGTGTCTCTATGGACTTATTTAAAGGTAAGCCTGCTTTCCTGTCAATTTCCTTAATAATTTATGAAAATAATCTTATTGATAAGTTATCATGGAAACAGTATGAAAATTACAATGTATAGATGTTTTGTATGAATTTGGAGGCAACTTTAAATCAATAAATTCTAACTGCTTAACATGTGTTAGATTAACTTGCACATCACATTGTTTTTCATATGTATATTTAGGTAAATTAACTTATTGTGTTTTGCTAAACCAACTTACTGTTTTGGTTAAATTAAACTAAAGAATATCATAAATAACTCGTTGATTTTTGTTTTCTAAAATCTGTTGTATATGTGTAACTATATTTAATTATCAAATTGTAATACAAAATACTCTTATTTTATCTTAACATAGCTTTCAGTTCACATTCACTTTATTTGCTACATTTATTATTTGTGTTTTGCCACACCACTGATTAAAATAAACCAAGGAAAATATCATAAAACTAAGCAGTACACAGTGGTCTTTTGTTTCTAAAATCAATGAAATATCTGTTACTATGTTTACTTAATGGTAAGTGTGAAAATGTAAAGGCAATGTACATGGAACTGATTAAAAGAACTGGTTTGTATATTAAGTTGTTCGTTTATATTTTTGTAGAGTAGAAGCAGAGATGCAATGAAACATGTTCTGTATTTGCTATTACATTTTTTAGTCCTTGATGCTTTGATAATCATATAAGTTTTGTCTGCTGTCTTTAATGCTAAATTATTTGTTTGAAATTTTTTATAGTACCGTACCTACCTATAGATATAGTTTCTTTAATATTTCAAAAGATTGTATAGATAAGGCACAGCAATATTTAGTTTATAACTGCTGACTTAGTTTTGCTAATGATTTATTGTGAGTGAAGAAACTGAAGATGGAAGGATTTGTGATTTAATATAAAGAAGAGTGAAATTAAAAAAAAAATCATTTAAATTTAATAATTAGTATTTTTGCTACTTCAAAATTGAAATTTAAAATGTCAATAATAAATTAAAAGATATGTAATTAAGGGAGATGAAGGTAAATCATGTATGTCAAAGTTTTGTTCGAAGATTTGGTCAGTTTTTCTCATATCAGCCTACACAAGATTTAAAATTAATCAAAACCAAAATGGTGGTATCCACTACTTACCAGATTTATAAGTCATAACTTAAACGTTTATATTAAGGCCATAAAAGTAGAATTTTGTTTCTAAAAGCGTTGGCGGATTTGTAACTATTATATGCAACAAATGTAAAGATTAAAATGTTTCTATTTTGTGTCCTCTTCCCGCGTTGCAAAGCACGGGTACAACAGCTAGTACTTAATATATTGTATCCATTCCCACCCAATTCAAGCCATTGTGAAATAAATAAAATTAATAAACATTTATTATTTGGGCTTATGGGTTGGTTAAGCCATTTTGTATTTGCACACAAAACTATGCTGTTTGTTTTAAAGGAATTTTATTTTTCCTTTTAAAATCTTAATCAGTTTTTACAAAAATTTATATAGGATGTTAAGGTATCAAAGCAAAAATTTTGGTCAGATTTAAATTATCAAAATGGCAGCTTAAAGTTAAAGTTTAAAGTTTTAAAGTCAAATTCCATCTGAAAAAATTAGCGCCTAAATAAAAGGAGAAAAAAAAACATTTAAAGCACTTGCGAATAGCAGTTTGGTGATTTTGTAGGCTAAATGTTACTATTTCTGCAGATTTTACCAAGAGGCTCAGAGGGACTGCTGAACAATGGACGAAAGAGGTATATCGTTGGAATTATGATCCGGATGAATGTCGCAGGTGTAAGTGCTCTTAGTGTGATTTTATACCTCAGTTGATAAGTATTAGTATTATTAGGACAGTTTTCTAAGTAAGGGCTATTTTTGCATACAAGAAATTTCATTTCTGGGCACTAACCCATGGTCTCCAAGCCTTTTTATTCATTTTTAGCGAAATAATCTATCCGTAGGTCTCATGGGGCACTTTGAGGTCTTTAGAGGCCAAAAACACCATACGTTTAAATTCATACATAATACATATATATATGTGTCCGTTAGCACGATAACTCGAGCAAAAATGAACCAATTTTGATATAATTTGGTATAAACGTGTACACCTACATTTATTTAAACGAGTTCGCGAACCAGCATGATCGGACAATGGGAATGGGGGTTTATGGGGTAAAAATTGGTTTTTCCTATTTTTGACCCAAAAAACATAACTTTTGCAATTTCTTTCTTACCATTTTGTAGAGATTACTTACTTACTTACTGGAGTGGCCACTGGTACCCTAAGAGGTACTTGGCCTCGCCCACACACTGCCTCCAGATGTCTCTGTCTTTGGTGTCATTTTCACTCCTTCCCAGTCTTCTTATAATATTTATTGTATACGATTATTATTTAATGTGGAAAACTAGATAAAAAAGCTTAACTAGATTTCCTAAAAAATAATCATACAGTACATGAAATAGATTAATAAGCATAATACACACTCACTAATAGTGAACAATAACTCTGTAACTGATTACAAATTCCATACGACTACACGCAACAGTAGTGCACAGTAAATCGGCAAAGTTTAAAAAAAAATCAAATGGAAATAGTCGCCGTGATTGACTGAATATACAAGAAGTTAAAACTTCGCCTGCAATTCCAAAGGTTATTCTAAAAGGGAGTAATCGGTTCTAGAAGGGTACTCAGTTGCCATTTGTCATCGGCGGACATTGATAACACGTTCTAGCTACAAGTAGAGACAGATAGTTATTACTGTAAAGCCTTTTTAGGAGGAAGATGTAACGTTGCTGCAATTTGTTCTTTTCACCGAAAGTACCTTCTTTTTAAGAGGTTAGAGACGTAGGAATTGGCTAACTCAGGAACTCGCTAACTCGGTTGTGTGTCGGAACTGGCTAACTCTGGAACTGGCTAACTCTGGAACTGGCTAACCGTCTCAGTCAGGAATTGGCTAACTCCGGAACCCGCTAACTTGATTTTGTCTCGCGGCGGAATTCGCTAACTCTGGAAGTCGCTAACCCGGCCGCGCCCACTGCACGGAGCGTTGCCAACCTTGTTCGACAAAATAATCGTACACTGCCGTATTTCAAAATGTCAGTGTCAATGGAGATACAGTAAATGTTATTGTTTTTTGTTATCAATTCCTTTTTTAACAGATAACTAGCCCAAAGTAATTCAAAGACAATTGAAAAATCATGAAAAAGTGTTTATTTATTTAACTGTACAATGGCTAGTTAAATGTTTATGATTTCGATCTTAAAAATAAATGCCATCAGTACAAAATAAAATAATAGAATATGAAAAATATTGAAAATTCAGTTTAATTGGTACTAAATAATTAGACCCCTACGAAATTAAGCTAAAATACAAGCAAGTTCTCAAACACGGAAAACAGATTTAATCGTAATGTCGTAATAAACAAAAAACATTAATTAATACAGTCATCAACTATCGTAACTTTCATAACTAATTCATAGATTTAAAATCAAATGTTCGTCGTTGAACCGTCCAACTTACGTGTACAAATATGATGACATAGACTAAGTTTTTATCTAGGCCTAATAGTTTGAACCAAAGCATTGTAGGCCTAGTAGTAAATAGTTGCCTAATTCTAAAATGTGTTGAATTTTTAGCAATAATGTTACATGTTTTAAACCCGTTTTAGATTGTACACCTACTAGTAAAAAATAGGAGAATATATAATATTCATATAATAAAACGTGACAGGGTTATTTTAATTCACGATTGTTAATAAACGAATTGACTGATTTTCCTGATTTGAGTGTTGGGTTTCCTTTATATTGCTTTCACAAACTATATAAACGATACCAAGCCATTGCTCGGCTCACCGTTCACCGGTACTGAGCTACACAATAGACAGCTTTGTTTTTGGATAAGATCAAGTAATTTTAGCTATGGCCACCATTCATAAGAATTGTAACAAACAAGAACGCCTGGGTCCATTTTGAACCAGCCTGGAGAAAAACTCTAGACTTTTGAAAAATAGGCCTACTGAAAGACGTAAAATTAATATTAATTCAACAAAATTAAGAGGATAACCCAGGTTCTACACGATAATAGCATATGATAAAGAAATTTGCAAGTTGTATTTATGCATAGACTCATTTTTAATGCAATCCATGAATACATTTTAAGCCTACCACTTTATAATGTATTGATAAATAGCCTATTTATTTAAATTCAATAGCTCTATTTAAAAATACATTACCACTACAATGTAATTCTGTAATGACGTTTAACGTGTAAATTTTATTATAATTTATGATTCAAGGTTACAAGCCCAGTATATAAAATGCGAACTCAATAATTTTATTTGCAGAAGTTCACAAAATGGTATTTATTCGAATAAAAGAAACAAGTGGCGGACTACGAAAATAGATATTTCCTAACATGTAATAGATCAAAATTACAATGTAAATGTGCATTTTTATCTTTTTGCATACCAAAAAGCTAATATTTAAGTAAGAAACCCACATATAACACATACTCCCTTATATTAGTACACTAGCAGAGTACCCGTCCTTCGTACGGGGTTGGCATATAAGAGTAAAATGTTTATTGCAGTCATACTCAAGCTTTGTGTTTGCAATGGGGGACGACACAGTTTGATAAAATTTGGTTCTTGAAGTTTACGGTATGCTTTAGTATAACACATTTACTATAGCCATAATGCTCTACTACTGCACCTAAACAATAGAAAACAAATTATCAAACCTTTGCACAATATCACAAATGATTCATTAAATGGGCATATAGGCCTAAAAAAACTGTAAACAATCCTACTTTGATAGTTCTCATTGCGTATCACAGCTTTTGTTGCTGCTTAGTTCAGTTAGCTATTGTCAAACATTCAAACAAAAAATGACCTAATCGTGTTGTACCCTGTTGGTAAACCTTAACGTTTTAATGCTATTGCATATCATAGAACCAACTTGTTTAGTTGAAACAGCTGACTAAATTCTTTAATTCCTTTTAAATGTGAATACTCATAAGGTTAACATAGGGATCCATAGAGCCACTGGGGCGGAGCCCGGAAGGACTTTTGAGATAAGAATATGCTTATATGTTAATCGGGAATGTGAGCTATCATTATGCCAAATTTCAGCCCAATCCGTCCAGTAGTTAAAGCGTGATTGAACTTCAAACAAACAAAAAACAAAAAAACACACAAACACAAACTTTCACATTTATAATATTAGTATGATTTCTCATCCTTATAGATCAGCTGAAGACAGTTTTATTGTTAGTTCTGTCCGGTGCACTGTCTTAAGAGGTCGTGTTTTGTTTACAATTGTTTCCTGTTTTCAGTCATTAAAAACTTTGTTTAACCAAATAAAACATTCTAATCACAACTAATAACACGTCCCCTAGTTATATAACCAAACAGTAAAGAACAAACCATTAAGTTAACTATCAAATAATGGAAACACAATTTTGTCGACACTAGCGATCAGTGTCACCGGACATGAACTAGACACGAAAAACGAGCTTCAAAGTTTACAATGGGATGTAAAGTTTACTTGTGTGTTGGTTAGTCTAACGCATTTTCCAACCTAATAATCATAAGAATAATGTTAAACATACTTCCAAGTATATTTATTTATCGACTACGTTGCTCTTACTCCTAATTAATCGTAGAATACGACATTATGGTACCGATACGATATAGGTACTACACTTTCGGCAACACTGGCCAAAAATATTCGTGCTTGGCTCCCATTGGACGGCCCACGAGGCTTCTGATTGGGAGTTAGCGAGTTCCGGAGTTAGCCAATTCCGAAACCGAACAAGTTAGTGAGTTCCTCTCATCGACCAAATTTGAAGATAGGGCATTAAACATGGGGTTAGCGAGTTCCAGAGTTAGCCAATTCCGCGGACCCAAAAATAGTATAGTGAAGCGTTATTATGTGCCTAATGGTTACAGAGAAAATAAGAATAAAAAATTAAAATGTAAAATTCCCATGTTATTTTTATGGAGAGTAAGTAAACTCTTGTAATTGCTTGTTTATGAACATATTTTGATTAACTTAACCAACAACTCAACTATCAACCATTGAGATGGGGACACCACCTAGGTGCGTATTTTAACCCAAATATGAGTGAAGGATGAGTGTAGAATGGTGTGTGATGACCTGTGTGCAAAATTAAATTTGGAAAATGAAATTATTTCTTCCTAAACTATTAACATAAAAAAATAACTGTTTCCCCCCCCCTGTTGCAGCAAACCTAAGTAGGCTAATTGTTAAAATAATTCTATTTTAAAACTGGTATATATTTTTAAGGTGACATTTGAGTGTAAATCCAATCAGGCAAATGGAAATTTGCTTAGTCTGCAGGTTTGCTGCGGCGGGGGTATTTTAAATGTAGATTTTATATAAAACCGGAAAAATCTTATTGTTACAAGCTGGTCTAACGATTCTGATTGAACCTGAACAAAATGACGAGCCTTAAGCTGTAGATAGTATGGTTCTAAACGTATTGAAATATTTGTGATTTCTCATAAAAGGTCCATAGTTTAGTTACCTCCTTTCTTTTCCTAGTACTGGATATCTTTTTACATTTTTTGCTCATACAAGTAGAAAGAAGGGTGTCCAATTCTTTTAATGTCAAGCAAATGAGAGAAAGTATGGTCAGTTTTCTGATACCGTTTGTTAAGTGCCGGGTGTTTATTTAATTTTTAAAAGTAAATCTTAGGTTTCCTGGCTAGTGGGTACATTTAATTGCTGTTGTCGGGGAGGAGTAGCTTGCCTCAAGCATGTGTTTCAAAAGACAACAACTAAGCTGGCTGGAACGTTTTAGGATTTTTTCATTAATAAATTAAATGTTACCGTTTGCTGCAGATCCTGAAGGTCTGACTGGACCCCTTTCATCAATAGAAGAAGAACTTGCAGTAATTCGCGCTCATCCTAGGACTAAGAAGAAATCTGAATTGACTTGCTGGCTTGAAAATATGGACGATTCTTTTATCAGTAAGTGTTCTTTAGTGTTTTTGTACTTGTTGTATTACAGTTTACAAAGTATAATTGTTTTATGTTTTGCTAATGAAATTACAGTAAAGTAAAACCCCACTAACTCGATGGTAACTTGACAGTCTATGTAACTTTACAGTGAAAAGCTGACAGAGCACATGCAAATTAAGCAATTTTTTTCTGAACATTAGTTTTAATTGTTGAATATTCCATTAAAATGTCAATGTTTAAAAATTTCAATAACTCAACCACTCTGGGTCTACAAATTATCGAGTTAGTGAGGTTTTACTGTGGTAGGATGTCCAATTTTATTATGTCAAGCAAACGGTTGAAAGTATGAGCAAGGCTAAGGTCAGGGAATTATGAAAAAATTATGGAATTTCTCCTGAAAGACAAATCTTTTACAGACATGGTACATTTTGCTCTAAACATGTTTTTATCAGGGTCATGACTAATGACAAAAAGAACAACAAAAGCACTGATGCAAATTTTTTTCCATAGTTATTAGTTATCGATACGATGGGCTTATTTGATAGTGAACCAATCTGTAGGCACTGTGATAGGTCAGAGGAGACAACCGATCACCTGCTCTTTGATTGTGATGAGCTCTCTGATGCTAGAAGGTTAACTCTTGGCAATGTGGTAGGAGGTAGACATCTTCCCGAGATTAATTGGGAAACTAAAGGCTTTCATTGGATGCCTGAATTTGTAAGGTCTATCAAGGAAACAATTGTCTGGGGTGCACAATAATTTGATTTTTCGGATGAAATGCTGTATAGTCTCGGCCTGCCCCTGTTAGATAAGATAAGATACCTGGCTAGTAGCTACACATAATTGCTGTTGTAGGGGAGGAGTTGCTTGCCCCAAGCATGTACTCCAAAAGTCTCAACAACTAATCCATCCAGGTGTTTTCAGTAATTTTTATTAAAAAAGTTTCAGGCTATTATACTTAAACAAATTTTCTTTTTATTGCAGATCCTACGAAGAAATTGAAACTTACACCTATTACCCCAGTAGGGGAAGGTAATGAGAAACCCGGTGCTGCTCAACCTAGGACCGAGGGAAAAGCTCGCCGGCTTTTTGATTTGGACGATTCATCCCACTGTAAGTGTACTTTATTAGTCCTCACATTATTAGTGTATATTTATATTTACTTCAGAGTGATGTATACGATATGTGATTCTACATACAGTAGTACATCTCAATCGCTCTAACTCCTTTTATTAGTTAATTACTTTTCCAACAGCTTGGGTGAATTGTATCATAATATGGTAATTTAGGATAGTTTGAAAGAGCATTGGCAACAGCCAGTCTGTTATTTGTCTGCTTATTTTTGTATCAGGATTTTGAATTATAGAATACACAGGGTGGCTGAAAAGTAACTTGCACCCCCCCTTAACTTTTCAACCATTTGAGATATTTGAAATCAGTTTGTGGCAACCTTCTTAGATATGAGGGGCTACAATAATTATGGTCAATTTTGAAAATTTTGCCCTCAGGGGTAGCGGGGGTAGGGGGTAGCTCAACATTTTCAAATGACAAGTATAGTCGAGTTTGATATCATTTTACAGGTCTTGACAAAACATAAACATTTGACATAAAGAAACCCAAAATCGGCTCACTAATAATAAAATGGCGCCCTAAAACGTTTCAAATCCAAATAACCATGAGGGTGGCAAAAAAATTAACTTGCACCCTCTTTAACTTTTTAACTATTCGAGATATTTGAAATCGGTTTGCGGCAACTTGTTTGGATATGAAGGGCGACAATAATTATGGTAAGTTTTGAAAATTTTGCCCTTAGGGATAGCGGGAGTAGAGGGTAGCTCAAAATGTTCAAACAGCAAGTATAGTCGAGTTTGGTATCATTTTGTAGGTCTTGACAAAACATAACAATTAACATAAAGAAAATAGAAATCGGACCATTAATAACAAAATAGCAGTTCAAAATTACTTTAAATAACAATTGTCTCAATCATTTTTAGCTGGCATTTTGTTATTAATGGTCCGATTTCTATTTTCTTTATGTTAATTGTTATGTTTTTTCAAGACCTACAAAATGATACCAAACTTGACTATACTTGCTGTTTGAAAATTTTGAGCTACCCACTACCCCTAAGGGTAAGATTTTCAAAACTGACCATAATTATTGTCGCCCTTCATATCCAAACAAGTTGCCGCAAGCCGATTTTAAATATCTCGAATAGTTAAAAAGTTAAAGAGGGTGCAAGTTAATTTTTCTGCCACCCTCACGGTTATTTGGATTTGACACATTTTAGGGCGCCATTTTGTTATTAGTGAGCCGATTTTGGTTTTCTTTATGTCAATGTTTATGTTTCGTCAAGACCTGTAAAATGATACCAAACTCGACTATACTTGTCATTTGAAAATTTTGAGCTACCCCCTACCCCCACTACCCCTAAGGGAAATTTTTTCAAAATTGACCATAATTATTGTAGCCCCTCATATCTAAGAAGGTTGCCGCAAACCGATTTCAAATATCTCAAATGGTTGAAAAGTGAAGGGGGGGGGGTGCAAGTTACTTTTCAGCCACCCTGTATACAGGATAGCAGCTAGATTACCTTGAAGAAAAGTAGGTAGCCAACATAGAGAAACGGTACATTTCTTCAAGGTAAGCTAGCCGTTATTCTCCTTATACCACAAGTTACATCCTTTAGAGCCTTTCCTTGTACAAAACTATTTTTGTATCAGACCGCATCGGATAGTGTGTATGGGTAAAACAGGCCCGGGTCCGCAGACAGTCGGACAATTCAGCGGTCTTTTGAGAATTCCAGACGGACTTGGCCGACACAACTGACATGTCGGATTGTGTAGACTTGGTCTGCGTACCGGCAGTTCACTTCAGTGGTTTTGTGGACTCAAATGACCATCCGAAATCAACCAGATGCTGACCGAATAAAACAGAAGTTACTCAAAGATTCCGCTGTTGGAACGGTGGTCAGAACACTGGTCGGATCGTGTGTGGTAACAGCCAGACTTGGCCACATAACACAGTCATCATTGTGCATTTATTTGTGAATTTATTACCTATATGGGCCTAGTTGGCCCTGCATGATGCTAATACTTATCTTATTGTGTATTCTTGCCATTTGTTAGAAGTTGTAAGTGTTAACAAAATTATTTTCAGGCAGTGGAGTTGAAATTCTCTCGCCTACCTCAAACCTGCCTAACTACGTCATCGATGGCACTTCTCCGTACCATCGGTGTTGCTCATCGGCAGGCAAACAGAAGGAGAACTGGCTGTCTAAACTGCAGGCGACACCTTCTCCCAAACTGGCTGAGAAAGTGACTACCAAGAGGAGATCACAAAGTTCACCTAAAGTTTGCCGAGGAAACTTATTAAAGTTCTTTAAAGTGGCCGCTAAACAATCTCCAGGCTCTAATAACCGTGATACTCAAAAGGAGTCGAGTAACACACAGGAGTCCCCAAGTATTATGTAATTGTTTAAAGCTCGGTCAAAAATGACAAAGGCTGTGATATTGAGTCGTAAAATAATTTTGTTTGTTGCATTTAACGTTCTGGAAACAGAATGTAAGTATTTGTAATATAGTACTGTACTATAATTTTTTTTTAGTTTCTATGCCAAGCACTGCTTTGTTTGTAATTACTTAAAAACCTTGGCTGGCTTTTAAAAAGAATGGTAGTGTACGGTATTTGGCTTGTCACATTAGTACCATCTACTATTTGCTTCTCAGTTACTCGTACAGTCAAAGTTAAAGCATTGACTAAGGTTAAAGTCTAGTGATTTTTTTTAAGTATTGATTTTATCTGCCAAAGTGAATTGATTTCATAATGTTTCTCACAGTTTGTTTAAAATAGCTATCCATATTATGTATTGAAATTAAAGCTAAAGCTAAATGACCCAAAAGTTAAGTTTTTGTATGAAAAATAGATATTTAGTGATGTATTAGTCAATATTTCTTTCCCGTTTTAAAAATACCCTAGAATAGTTTATTTATTAGGCCTACATCAGTATTTTCCATGCCTGGAATGTACATTTATTCAATAGATATAAGCGCAAGGTGACGTTTTAGTCAGATTAAATAAGACCAAAAATGCAAATGTTGGGAATTTTAACTTCAAAAACCTAATTTTTTGGGACTTGAAGGTTAACCATATTGAGCAAGGAATGTATGGGTTTTGTGTACCACGACTAAAATGTTTAAATATGTTTTACTGCTAGAACCATTTGACTGACTGGCCACTGTACTGTTTATTAATTTATTGGTGGCCCCATTGAATATGCATCTAATAGCTCGGATCTCTAAACACAATAAGAGCTAAAATAATTAGGCCTAGTAAACTTTTTTTTAGTTTGTTCTCGATTTACGTAACTTTCAAAAACTGATTTTTGAGTTATCAGCATAAATTACTTGAATTAAAAAAAAAATTACGGTATGTAATTTTTGTTAGTTGAGTAAAGTTCTAAAGATGACTCTCTTGGTATGTTGAGTATCTTCACTTTAAACACTGATTTATTTATGACTTCACACTCCTAATCTAGCTTGTGTTTAGTTTTGTAAGTTGTTAAAAGATGTCTTATTTGTTAGTTTTAGATGCATTTTATGAACAAAAAGAACTTTTAGTTTTTTAAGAATATGTTGCATTATGTGTGTTGTTAATGGTTTGTACAATTAAAGACTGATTACACAATTCTTTTGTGTTTAGTTTATCAACCTCTTAAGGCAGTAATTGCGTAATACATACTTTATGGATCATCCAAGCCAGTTATGTTTAGATCAAATCCTTTGAGGATATTTAACAGTGATGGTTCGTTTTCTATCTCCTTTTTGTAAAATAAGATTAAATGAAGAAATTACCTAAACTCTCCTCCAAGTGACCTCTCCTGCACAGTGGATTTAGTACAAGACCAAAATTATTTGCTTTTGTTTTCTGTTTTGTATTGGAGATGGGCAATATTTTTACTTTGCAGTAATAGTCAGGATCGGTCCTTAGTTTTTCGGTATTAGGTAAAATAATACTATTATTTTTGTCACCTATTACTTCTCCTTCCAGTATTATTCAGCCAGTCGGGTTCCCACAATTCTAGGGTTTTATTTTCTTTTTTTTACTTCCGTTTACGACTCTTATTACACCCTGATTATTGTTATATTTTTAGCTATTCGCCATGATAATGAAAATGGAATACTAATTATTAACTGTCTTAAGATTTTCTACATATCCTTAATAAATTAGGAACATTCAATTTTACAAAACCATAGGAAGCTTAGTCCGTAACTACAACGATTTATCATTACTATTTAATAATAGCCTTAAATAAAAAAAATCTCGTCCATTATACATCTATTATATTAGGCTCGCTAATTAATAGGATGACAGTCAGCATTATTTCACTTGCTCGCCCTAGGACGGTACAAAATAATAATAATACTATTATTTTTGTCACCTATTACTTCTCCTTCCAGTATTATTCAGCCGGTCGGGTTCCCACAATTCTAGGGTTTTATTTTCTTTTTTTTACTTCCATTTACGACTCTTATTACACGCTGATTATTGTTATATTTTTAGCTATTTGCCATGATAATGAAAATGGAATACTAATTATTAACTGTCTTAAGATTTTCTACATATCCTTAATAAATTAGGAACATTCAATTTTACAAAACCATAGGAAGCTTAGCCCGTAACTACAAAGATTTATCATTACTATTTACTAATAGCCTTAAATAAAAAAAATCTCGTCCATTATACATCTATTATATTAGGCTCGCTAATTAATAGGATGACAGTCAGCATTATTTCACTTGCTCGCCCAAGGACGGTACAAAAATAATATGATTCTCAGTAAATTATTAACTAGTTTTGTATTATTTTGCGATGCTCACTATTTACTAATTGATATGTGTGATAAGCGTTAAATCACTAGCTTGTTCTAACAGATCAGATGACATTACCAAAATAATAGGGTATTCTCTCTCAATAATGTTTTACCATGGTGACACTTCAGTTAGTAATCTATGTATTTATTAATCTATCTATATATTAATAGGCAAGCATGTTTCTTTAAAACCTTTTTTCTCAGCTCGTGTGCATCGTAGGGAAAATCTACGCATACAACCGTTAGAAAGCTATTTTCCTGTAGGTGTGCAGAATCCCTTTATAAATTTAAATAGGCTCAAATATAAGCGCAAAAAATGAGTTTAAAAATTTAAAAAAAATTACATGGATCTTATGCGTTGCCATGCTGGTGACGAAATAACAACGAAATATAAACAGAATATCAAAACAAACGGGAGAAACTCCAATCATATGTTTTATTTACAGTGTGGGGTGAAACATTAACATAAGTGAGTACATTACATATTTTTGGTCGAGTTTCGACCACTGGACATTACTCGTATAGTATTATTATCCTACTATCCTATTACGTTAAATAACACCCACCTCTATTTCATACAGAGAGTTGTAACAGGTGTAAAATTTTTTGGTGAATTAAGTCTGTATTGTGTCAAATTAAGAGCAATTATTTTTATTATCTTTCTTTTAAAAAAAGAAGTCAACAAAAGTTACAGCCAAAATTCTCATGCAGATCTGGCTCATTCTGAGAACTCAAACATAAAGTAATGAGTTGAGTACCTTGGTTAGCAGTTTCAAATGTTGATCTGATGTTACTTGTTTCAGCTAGTCTGTCATTATCTCTGACTCTGTCCCTGCCCGTGACAAAGATATGCCGGTTTCCGCAGTTGATAGGCCTATTACTATTTCAAAGTTATGTCCTCATAATTGTGTGTGTTTATGTGTAATCAACCAAGCTACAGTGGATAATTATGTCCCTGACGAAAGGTGTGTACAATGGCATACTAGCCAAAATATCTAACCCCAGATCAAAAGCTTAAAACTGCTGACGACCAAGGCGTTTATTTATAGAACAAATGTATACCTACTACTTTTTTACAGAAACTCAGTTTACCTCCTGGATAACCTGAACAAAATGTTTACCTATCACCTTTCACTGGATATGTTCTAACAAAGTAGAAGATATAAAGCTATTCCTACAATAACTATATGGTACAGGTAAAAAAGGTAGACAAAATAAAAAGGTTATACAATAAGTTATATTTTAAAACTAAAACAATGGTGGTATAATGTAGTAACAAACGTGACCTTAAGAAAGTGTGAAAGATTTGTACTATAAAATAAACTGGTTGACAGGAATAAATCTTCCAGTGTCACTACACTCCCAGACCCAATCAGGCGATACACAGCTGACTCCGAACTCTTCACCGACCTGAGGAATAGACATTGAATCATTCAGATTTAAATAATTGTGTAAAACAATAGGGCAAGTGTAAATAATACAATTTGTAAGGGATTTGTTTAAGAGCAGGCTTACTTTGGTATTTTTAGTTAGTGTGGTGTTTCATTCACACATTTCGTATGTAATTTTGTTAGTTAAGTTTCTGATATTAAAATATGGGGTTTGGTCTCATTTTGAGGTTATACATTGTACATGTGTATGGCTAGCTTCATTTGTGTTTTTGCTGTATTTTTTATGGTGTATCCAGGTCCTTAGCCCTTGCATTCGGCCTGTTTGTAATTTTGATCAGTACTGGCTATCTGTCTGTTTCTTGTCAAACTATGTCTACAACAACTGGAATGCATTATATGCTATATGCTATACTGTGCCGTTACCATTGGATGAAACTGAAATCAAACACTTTTGCACCCTTGTCCAAGCATTGGCCACTACGCAACAACAGCAAATGTGTTGAGTACTTTTTTCTGAAGAGCTGAAGCCTAAATGTAAAATGTTCATATTACTCGTTTGCTTGTATTAAGAATGTTGTGGCCAAGAGCATAATATAGCAGGTCTCATTTTAAAAATTTAATAGCTTTTTCAACATGCAAGATGACTTTTACTGGTCTAAAAGAAATAGCCAATTTTACTACACTCTTAATTTACTACAAAAATAGGTCTTTTTAATTTCTACACATTAAGAGTTTTAAGTAAATTCCATCTCACCTCTGCAGCTATGTCTGCTGATCTAGTGATGACGTATTCAACGCTGCCTTCCATCTCGTCAACCACACTCCTGCAAAATTAAAAGGGATCTTGTTTACATACAAACACTTTTATCAAGTTTGGATTTGGACAGTTATCATTACCCAACTAAACTTGAACTCATTCCTTTAGTTAGGTGAAAATGTCATAATTAATTCAAAATTCATCTTACGGTTCAAGTCACTTATAGGAGACTACAATGTTTTCCATGAAATGTGGCTTTGTCAAACTCCTTCAGACTGGTCCGTGTGAGGGTTATACAAGTGAGTTACAAGACTTAGCTCACATAAGAACTGTCATTGCACAATCAGTAGGTTTTTGGCTATGGCATTACTGCATTACCCTTTATATGCGACGATGTATCTATGAAGTTTCCTCCTCTCCTCTTGGTCAATATCACAGCCCAAATGAAATGTGATGTCTGAGAAGATCGTAGGCAAGGTTGGCAAAGGTAGATGTTTTGTTTGGCTCTCAGAGTCGCTCTCAACATCTGTGTCGGCAGAAAACGGATCATCAGGTTTATCAGCTGGTTTGGTCTTCGCTTGAGCTTGCCTTGCTCGCACTCTAGAAAGATAAATAGGATTAGGGTGAGAATACGTTTGTTCAGACATTGTAAATATGCTGAAATGTTTACTATTGTTTACTTTTTAATTGATGTTAACATTTCTCTATACCAATGTAAATTTCAATCCATGGTTGTAATACTTGAGGACAAGTGGAAGTTTACAAATACATTAGAACCTCAATTAACTGGGGGTGGATCAACCGTGGTCAATAGATTCCTATAAAAATATGTTACATAACCTCATTGTCCAAGAAAAATACCAAGAAAATGTTATAAATTTTGTTTTTTTTACCCTAATTGAAATGCATTCATTGTATACGAAATTAATTTATGCCCATTATTTATATGCAGTAGGCTCCCACATTATTGTTTTTGAATTATCAATGTTTAATTGACAAAAATAAAATGGAAACAAAAGAAAGAAATATCAATTGAGGGTCGCCGGAATTTTATCCCCCTGGAATTTTACCCCCTGGGCAAAGCTGACGTCACTATGACGTAGTAACCTGAGTGGCCAAAAGTTTGTTCGCGGCCGGAATTTTACCCCCGCGGATTTGGAAGTCTAATGAAAATAGTCAGAGCGTGATTAATTAGATTAGCGATAAAAACCGGAATTTTACCCCCGTCCATATAACTAGCGCTTCTAGGCAACTGAAGATGTACGGGCCGGATTTTTACCCCCGGAATTTTACCCCCGGAATTTTACCCCCCGGAATTTTACCCCCTGGCTGATTTTAGAAATTGGATGATTGATTTTCTTATTTCTGTTTTTAATTAATTGTAAACATTTCATTATTTAGTAGCCTATCTTTATTTATTTATTTTGTAATCTCAACTAAGTAAACAGATTTCGCTGTTTTATTTTGATCATATTAACCAACAGTTGGCTTCAAAGATCGAATCCTGACACTCGAATCTCAAAATTAATATTAAAACCCTGTTCGATTAGTTAATGTTACATATAAATTAAGATAGGCTACTTAATAATAAAATGTTTACCATTAAATTAAAACTGAATGACAATAATTAATCATTCTCACTAATTTATATCTGGCCAGGGGGTAAAATTCCGGGGGTAAAATTCCGGGGGTAAAAATCCGGGCCGTACATTCTAGGTTTTTATAATTTTATGTGTTCTGATTAAACTCACAACCGTGAAAATATATGTTTAATTCCGCGTTTAATCCATCGAGCTGATGTCGCGAAACTCAAAAGTTCGCGGCCGGAATTTTACCCCCTGGTTTGTGACGTCACGTTTGCCCAGGGGGTAAAATTCCAGGGGGATAAAAATCCGCTACCCCTCAATTGATAGCTTCAAGGGGTAAAGCTATCTGCTTGCACTGACAATCGTCTGCTCATTACACATCTGACTGCTGTACGCTTAGTTTGTAATTGGTCACAATAGTTTGTAATTGGGTGATTAGAACCATGGCAACTTTAGTAGCCTGTGGGATCGGTAACACTGGCAACTTGTTGAATGTGTGGATAAAGAGACCCAGGAAATAATAAATGAACAAAGAGAAAGAATAAGCTATTTGTTATGTCATTGTATTGTGACTGTTGTTATTATCTTGAAGATTATAATGATTGCACAATAGCCTACTTATTGTATTTTGATGATGTAATATTAATGTCCATGTATACAGGCGGTACATGGACCTTATATACATGGACGGATTGTGGCTTTCAGTTAACCGTGGTCTCTTTTTCCCCTCCATTAACCAAGATAATCGAGGTTCCACTCATAGAATCTAAAATCAACGGTTCAGCAAACTAATTTGCTGTATCACATTGCACCAGTTATAGCATAGACTAACCAACACAAGTAGACTTCCCATCCCATTGTAAATTTGAAGCTTGTTTTTTGTGTCTAGTTCATGTCCGGCGACACTGGTGGCTAGTGTTGATGAAATTTTGTTTCCATTATTTTAGAGTTAATTTATTGATTTTTTTCTTTGTACTATTTGGTTATATAACTAGGAAAAATTATTGTTTATGATTTCATCGTTTTATTTGGTTAAACGGGGCTATTGTGTTTGAAATAACAAGAAACGAATTGTAAACAAAACACAATCTCTTTGGTGCACGGGGCAGAACTAACGGTAAAACTTGTCCTTAGGGATGGGAAATCTACTAAGGGAGTATGTTTTATCTATGGCTATAGCCATGTCAACATTTAACAGTAGTTACACACCTTTCAATTTCTTCCTCAGTATCAGATCCAGAGCCAGAGCTATCACGCCTGTTGGCAACACTTGCATTCACACTACTGCCTGTCGTAGTGGTACTGCTGGTTGTAGCCACTGACCCCACTTCCCAAACCTCCTCCTCGCTTGAACTACCAGCGTCATTTCTGTCAAGAGCAAACCTGGAAAATTCAACCACAGTGAGTGTGTTGCAGTTTGTAAAAAAACTAACTACTGTATGATTAAAACAGTTTTGGTTTGATCTTAAATAAATGGGTTGGAATTTGAATTAGGCCTATTGTACGAAACATGCTTTAGATTGTCCTACAATTGTATAAATCAGATTTTTTAATAACTCTTTAATCATGAAAATAAAACAATGCAGTTTTATACTTTTTTTTACTAGCCTAATTTATAAGTTTATATAATATATTTTCCTTGTCCTGTCAAGGTAGAAGTTCTAGTTTGGTTTTTTCTTTATGTCCTTATTTTAACCGAAATAAAATTTAAAAAAATTAATATCTGTGCCCTCTTCATCTACAATGTAAAAAAAACAAAAACTTGGGTGTTGTTCAGCGTTTTACCTTTGCTATCCATTAAAACACAAATTTTCTTAAAGATTTCTCAAAAATGGCTAACTATGCAATGATTTATTTTCTATCATTGAGTCATTGAGATATTTGGTAACCATTGCTTACTAAGTTTCCTGATAACCAGTCCCATTATCCCGCCATTGTTTCTCTGATTTTGTCCTGTCTTCATCAGGCACTGCTTAGGCCTTTAAAAAGGACCTTTTTAATAAAAAAAAAAATAGCCCCGATTGAGAAGAGGACGAGGTACCTCGAGGTTGTTGTTTCTTCAAGGGCTCATCACTAACGTTCACCTCAGGTGAGCGAATGAGGGAGTGTGGTTTTTACACGTTTCCATAAACTATTCGGTACTACATGTTAATGACTTTTTTCAACAAATACGACAGTTTAGATCTTACCTCCGCCAAGGCAGTCGCTTGTGTTGACTGTGACAATGTTCTACCCACTCTTTCTTGACGATTTTTCCTCTTCCTTTAACCTGGTTGAATTTGGGTGTATTTACAAAAGCACAACTAAAATCAAAGCAAAAATATTAAGCAATATGTAATATATTACCTAAATAAAACATCAACTTTAATAAATCAAATAGTTAACCAGTAAGTACTTACTCATATTTAGAATCATATAAAATAGGCCTATTTAATCTAGATGTTTTCCTGTCAGGGTACAAAATGTAGTCACAAAATCTACTTTGAACAAGCGATCTTTCCTTAGTGTTAACATGTTGCATATATTTGTAAAAAAAATTTACCGCTATTCTTGAATAAAAATTAAACTAAAAATAATGAATAGCAATATTAAATTTGTTTAGTTGACCATTTAAAATACATAAAGACCCAAATATATAAAAGTTAGTGGAAATTGTTCCCTACAGTAGACTCCCTCTAGTTCGGCCACCACGGGACTGGACCACTGGCCGGACTACAAAATGGCCGGACTAACCGGATGTAGTGCATTTTACATAATCAAAATACAAATAATAGTATTGCGCAATCATGATATGTTAAGTCATTAACCTTGGTTCAGTAATAAAAACTGTAACGTTTAAAATCACGTTTGCTTACTCAAGCAAAACATAAATTATACAACTCTGTACGTACAGCAATAAATCACGTGAAGAACAGAACAATATGAAGTCTAGTACTGTACTGCAAGCTACTGCTATCATAGTCAGCATAGGCTACTACTACATGTTGTTTCAGAACATAAAAATGTCAATAAAACATTAGATAACTCATAAAACAGCATAAAATCATAGTACTTAGTCTTAAAGATAATAAGGACAGTCGTAAAATAGGATAAAGATAACAATGGATGACATAAAACACCCCTTATACTTTCTTCTTCTTTCTTTGGTTTCTCTTGATCCACACATTCAACAAGTTGCCATGGTTACTAATCACCCAATCACAAACTGTTGTGAGATAGCAAGCGCACAGCAGACAGTTGTGTAAAGAGCAGATGATTGTCAGTGCAAGCGGATAGCTTGACCTTGAAGCTAACGATGCTATTTCTTTGTTCTGCTTCAATTTATTTTTGTCAAATAAACCGTGGTGTTTCAAAAACAATAATGGGGGAACCTACCGCATAAAAAATGGTCCGAAATATCTAATTATACATTGCATTTCAACACATTAGACTGAAGAAAAACTAGGAATTAAACTATAAAATGCTCTTGGTATTTTTGAGGTTATGTAACATAGTTGTTACATAGGTAATATGCAAAATTCACCCATAGAAGCACCCGTCAACTAAACTGACATGAATTGTTTACTTCTATGGCCGGAAACTAAAAATTTAAGTTGAATCCTGTCGAAGGTCATTCGCCCGTGACGATATGACTTGTCCCCCTGAGACCGGGCCGGACCATCCGGCGGCCGATCCAACCGAAGCCGAACTAGAGGGAGTCTACTGTATTTTGATTCACTGAAGCTAATCAATAATTTTCATTACTACTAGTAATGAAATTGTAAAAAAAAAACTTATCTTAACCACTTACATAAGGTGGGTGCATTGGTTATCCCAATCCGCCTTATATTTGGCTCCCATAGCACAAGCCTTGGATCTCAGTTCCCCTCTCAATGGATTTTGATATCCGCTGATGACAATGGTAACGCCATCAAAAAGACGATTGAAAGGTCTGGTTTCTTTTGGCACTTTAGTCTTAGAGCCGCCTGAATCATTCACTTTTAGTTTTGGTGTTTGTCCATTGAAGGTATTTCTGTGTTTGGACCCAATTGTAGAATCATCTGAAAAGTCAAGAAATATTTTACACTTTTAAAGTCGATTCACTCTTGAAACATGTTTAGCTTGTTTGGGAAATAATCTTTGAACTTTGTATTTTTCTAGCTTCTTTGTAATAATTAGGTCTACCAATAGAATTTAGAGGTCTCATTCTAATTGGGACAATCTTAAAATAATTACAGTATGTTCCACGCGAGTCTGCAGTTGAGGGAGGAGCCTATTTTACCATGTGACTTTGAAGGAGCCAATGAGAACCTTGCGTTGTTGCCAAATCTAATAATACCAGCTGATTTGAAAATACTGTTATAAGTGTCAAAAATTAGTGAACGGGCGATGTTGCAATGTTGCGCTAGTCCAGTCTTGCTATTGGCTGCCGCCAACTGCAGACTATGGTGGCCCCTAGTATAAAGTGGATAAATAGCTGGAACTGTTTATTTGCAAAAGTATAGAGAAACTAACTATATACAGTATACACATATATTTAAAGCGAGCAGTATTTTTGCTGTAGGTACTACCAATGCCACACTAAAAAAACAGGCCGTAATGCTCGTCCAGCATGACGTCACGATAGAAGACGGCAATGATGTAATTTTGCCTTTTGTGATCAGCTGCTTGTTTTAATCTTTCTTTGGAAAATAAACAAATAAGTACTTATACGTCATAGCCGTCTTCTATCGTGACGTCATGCTTGGCGAGCATTACGGCCTGTTTTTTTAGTGTGGCCTTGGTACTACCCACAAGATAAATTTATTTTGAAAAAAAAGAAGTAAAACATCATGCTAGATCATGAGACAAATATATAAAACAGCCTGTGGTTTACAGTTGGTGGTTTAATTGTGTCACAAACATCTGAGGTAGACGGTATTTTTTAACTAGCCTATTTAACCTTGTAAAAATGTTGTCAAATTAAGTTTTATAAAGAACTGTACCTTTCTTAGTCCTCTTTGGCCTCTTTGTTGGTCTCTCATCATCTGAATCATCTGGGATAACCTCGTCATCAGTTAAAACCGACACTCTGTCTTTGGTTGGAGAGTAGGTGGAATCCGCATCTGTGTCGTCTGCTGGCGAGTCTTCATCATCTGTTAAAGCAAAACTATGTGAACCAGTAGCAAAGATACAAATGAAATTGTATTATAAGTTACATAAGTAAAGTTGACAAATGAAATTGTATTATAAGTTACATAAGTAAAGTTGTCAAGTTACAATTGAAAACGGGAACTCCAGGAGAATCGTAGACTGTATTACTGACTATTGGATACTGAAGTAGACATCTCATCTATAACAAACAGCTGTCTCGAATTTTTGGTTAAAAAATAAAATAGTTTGTGTGAGCTAGTCACAGAATGCGCTAATTTCTAAAATTCTATTTTCTACCTTTTTTCTTGTTGTTGACCAAATTGATGGGTCATAACAGTTGTTATAGCTCATTATAAGTATTTCCATTAGTTTGACTTGGTAAAAAAGTGTATGTATTTGTAGGAAATTAGTACTTCATGGAAATTAGTAATTTAAATCAGCACAAGCTGTCGGTGGCTCACACCAACTATTACGGTTTTCAATTTTTTCATTAAAACAATGGCGACAGCTTTAACATGATGGGGATGGAATGTCTGGTTGTATCAATTTCAAAGGCAATATCCACCCAATAAATAAGTTATAGGTAAATAAGTGATTGTCTTCAACCTTGTAAGATTACTTAAGTAATTTTCATACCTGGAAGGGTCATTTGAAGTTGCTGTAGTGGTTTTGTAATTTTAGCTGGATCTCTTTTTGGGGTCAAATTCTTACTTTCATCTTTGTCTGGATCTCTTTTAGGTGTTTTCTTACTTTCTACCTTGTCTGGTTTTAACACTCCTGGTAACAAAAAACAATAATATATTAATTTAAATTTAAGGGTTTACAAAAAGGGTAAACAAAAATGAAAACCTTAGTAGTTATTATTTTAAGCTATTGTTAGTTTAATGAAATAGGCAATCATTTCACTTGAAACTATACCTACTTTTTAAATTAAAAAATTGAAAACAGAGGTAAGGGTTAGATGTTTTAACATTTGAACATTTAACATGTTGATGCTTTACCTGAAAAGTTTTACTTCAGTCAACACAACATCAAAAAATTAACTACATGCACACAATATTTTTTTACAATATATTTAATATCTGTATACAATATCAAATATTACAGGGATGGCCCTCAATATTAGCTTTCATGTAAGACTTCAATCTATTTTTTTATGTTCACCATTTTTCGGAGTGTTGGTCTTAGGTTTCCTCTGTGTGGGTTTGTGATTTGTCCCTCGTGCAATGGTGGCTGGTGAAGAAGCATCTCTGGCAGCAGCTGCCGCACCTGATGGCAATATCGGATTAATGCAATATTTTTCATAGACTAGTATTAAACAGGGGCTTTTTTACTGTTTTTTCATATTGATTTCTCGTATGACATATGAGCTCTGGTACGATTTTAAAATTCTTAAAGTTAAATAAATGAATAAATACAAGGAACAAATATGTGAACTTTGGTCTTTAATACTTGATATTAACTAAGAGTATTTAGACGTTTATAACAATGAGAACATAATCCTACACAATCTAAATCCAAGAGTAGACCCATCATCCAGGCTAAAGTGTATTTTATTACCGACCTGGAGGAATCGGAGCTGGAGGATCTTTTCTCTTGGCAAACCAGCTTCCAACTGCTGGTGAATCCTCTTCGTCCTCTTTGAGAGCGAATCGTCCCAAACTCCCACTAGCGTCTCCCGATTCCGGGTCCCCCGGAGCGTGCAAGGTGACAAACGCCAATCCATACTGGACGTGTTTGTTGAAGGGCTGAGTGCACACTATCTTAACTCTGTCCCATTTCTCATCACAAGTTGGCTTTGTGAAGTCTGCTTTTTTGAAGAATCTAACACTATTCACATTGGTTCCGTCCTTAGCTTCACGCAGTGTCATTAGAGATGATGCCACCAGTAAGACCTGATAAAAGTAAGTAGGTTTTACTCTTCCTGCATTTTCACCCTTTCCAATCATTTTAGCAATAAAACCAATCAAAATCATACATAAAATTGGCTCAAATATTTTGTCATTAATTTGTAATGCTAGGTACCTACCTACTACAAGTGACTTTGACTAGAATTAAAAAAAAAATATGGTATTGTTTTATAAAACTTGTTATGAAATGTAGGCTACGGGTAGGTGTAAATGTTATGTAAGTTTATACCTATGTGAAATATAGACATATTTCAAAAGCCTAGTTAGGCCCTTACTTATATTTTGACCACACAAAGCCATTCTAGAAGTTCTATATAACTTACATAATTATGTACCGTAAACTTAGTCAGATTGTTTTCAGAATTTCTCCACAAGAACTAATCCATATTAATTAGGCATAAGAATTAAAAATAAATTCCTTACTTTGTAGTCTTCATTGTGAGAACTTGATCTTCCAACAAGTACTTCCACAAAAGCAGAATGTTCATTTCCAACATCTATAGCTTCTATAATAACACTTTCTTTTAATTGTAAAATAACGGATGCCTGTTTTTCTCCGATCTTGCATTTCCACTTCCTTTTATTATCCGGTTTGAGTAGATTATCAGCTGGGTTGGCCTGAAATGAAACATGTTTCATTAATTTATATTGTATTGACAATGCCTATTGCATGTATATGCTTTACGGAAAATTAAGATTTTCATTTTCAATTTACTAGATCGGTTAATTAACTTACTTACAATATTATTTATAGTGTAGGTAGCATTAACACTAGGACTCACTAAAGATCAATCTGATTATCAGAACAAATTGAAATTTTTGTTTGGCTTTTAAAAGAGGGACAGTTGTTTGTTACGTCCTACGTCTACTGAAAGGTATGTTTGTTTGACAATTATATTTTGCATGGTTTGCTGTGTGAAGTTTTTGACAGAAGTGCTGTTGTTTGGTTTGCAGTGAATTTTTTTATATGTTTTATTCTTTCAGGAAAAGACTGAAATATTATTTTTAGTTCAATATTTTATGTAAGACAAAGCCTATTGTAAATAACTTAATGGCCGAAATAAATGTTGAATCTTGACGTGTAACTTAACTTAGGTCTATTCTCTAGAATAGATCTAAGGCTAAGGTAATTTTACTGGGCTAATGATTTTTTTTAGAGTTTTATGTGTCAGACTAAGTATATAAGCCAGTTCATTGGTTTTAGAGAATTTTCTTTCCCCTGATCTCTAACAAACCCTAATCCCTAGATTTGTTAACGTGTTCGCGGGCTCCCATAGGGAACCCTAATGCCATCCTGGTGGGTGCGATCGCTCCCAAGCTGCAATGCAGTACGAAATGATTTTTTCTTTAAGCCAGGATTAGAGCTAGAAACTTGAAACCTCGCACAGCACTGCTCAATAGTATACTGTATTTTTTGTGGTGTAGGTTGGTAGTAAATTTCCCCGTAAAATCCCCGTCTTACAATCTCAAAAATGTACTTTTTGTCCCGTCTTTTTCCCTCCATTTGGCAATACAATTCCAATGGGACCGGCTACGTTCCAAGCAGTGCTGCTATCTGTGGGTGTTTAGCGAACTACGTCGACTCTTGTTGTAAAACAGGACATCCTCGCACGTTATTTGCTATACGTCAGACCAAAATTGGAAAGCCAATCACACACGGCAATCGGGTTTGTTCGACGCTGAGGGCCGTGCCGCACTGGGGATACGCCCGCCATTTGGCGTGCCGTCACGAACGTGTTAAGTCATGGGTAGACTTGCGTATCTGTTGGCACCAACAACCAAATGAAAATATCGATCGATAGGCTATATCGATTATTCGATATATAGTTTGGTTAGTTAGGTAGGGTTAACCTAACCTAAGTAACCAAACGATATATCGCATAAGCAATATTTTCATTCGGTTGTTTGTGCCAACAGATATGGAGGCCTGCCCTAAGTTATAATTAGCTTAATAAAATTACTTTACTAAGTAACTTAGGCCTAAGCAAGTAAGAATAATTAGGCTATGTCTGATACTTACTGGGTCTTCACTATTGACACTCACTATCCTCTCAATTGATATTATTGGCATGATTGTGAATTAATTCGTGTGTAATTTTACACCAAGAAAATACTCAGGACATAAAGAATTAATAGGCCTAAACTAATATTTCTCAGAGGTTTAGCAATGCAATGCAGACATTATGTCTGGACCTTGGCGGGAAATATTCAAGTAGGCCTACAGTAAATAAAACATGAAGTAACATAATGAGATATCGTATGACAACTTTTGACTCAATTTGAAGTAGAACTTAGTACTAAGATATTTCAAATCGCATACATAATTTTAGGGGATTTGTATGCAGGCTAAATTTCACAATATTAAAGATTGAAGGAAAAACATAACCCTAAAAGTGAGAAAACGTTTGTTTGATAGCAATATTAGCAATATAGCAATACCGTGAGTCACGTGACTAGTGTAATGAATGACTGATGAGAATGACAAGACCAAGACCAGCGACAAGACAGACAAGCAGGAAAAAGACAGACAAGGAAGGTGCAAGGAGGAAGACAACTGGAAATGGAACTATTATTATTCTATATCTATTATTCCAAAATCATTTTTTTTTCTAAAATAACTTTTTTACCTTCATCACTTAGTTTAAAAAATTTATAAATATATATATATATAAGACGACTCTCTTCCACACACAGAGGTATTCCTTCTTTGTGGAAGATATTTCACTAATTTAAAAAGCTTTTTTTATATTTTTATGTTTATATTAAATTTTATATTATTAAAATACCAAACAATATTGTAAACATTTCTGTATGGAACTAACATGATGTAATTTGTAAATATTTTGGCGGAATAAATGCTATTTTGATTTAATTTGAACTGAACTGAATTGAACCGAACGAAACGAAAGTCTGAAACTAAACCGAAGATTATTGAAGAACCGAAAGCGACACCTGACAAATGACATAAAGTTTCCTAGTTTGCTTGGTAGGATTTGATTTATTTATTATTTGATAGGTAGTTTTTGGTGCACAGCCTGGAGGACTGGAGCCCCTGACACTTTTTAGATGTGCACGGAATATGGATATTAAAAGTACTGTCGTGCTAAATCTTCTAATATCCGCAAAATTGTTTTTATGTTTCATGATTATTTTCCTACAGTCACCTGACAAAGTGGGCTTCCTTGCACTAATTACTGTTTAGTACTGTACATAAAGTTTCTAATTGCTGCATTTACTTACTTTTGCTACACTCATTTTGCCGCACTCCATTATTCCAACAACAGCGTGCTTTTATCAGGCACGTAATCCGTGTGCTTGAAAATAAGTTGGCAATACTTGATACTACGACTACGATCAGCTGTTGCAGAGTGTTTCCCATCCCATTTAGTTCAACGCTTTTGGATTGTGTTTGAAGTAAAAACTCTAACTGTAGGAAAAATATAATCTGTAGCACGTACATGAGTGCATTTGCCTTTGCTGCACTCGAGAAACTTTCCACACTCGGCTGCGGCTGTAAACATTTCTCTCATGAAGGTTCTGTATTCATTGTTTTCACTTATATCCACACTAGATCCACAAATAACTATTGTGTTTAATTTATTTTAATCCAAATTGTATCAATTCATATCAGATTTTAAATTGCTATTTGATGTTTAATTTATGTCAAAAGTCCAAGAACAAACCTTTTAAACCTTTGTATTATAGGGACAACAAATAGTTTTCTCTGGTCAAGTTTGTTTTATTTTTATTCATGCTATGGGAAAATTGTTTAAAAGCTATACACCATATTAATATAATGCAATAACATTATTGTGGGTATATTTTTTATTTAATCGATGGAATACTGTACTCCCATAGTGCTACCATAGATAAAAATTATGCCTTCCAATGGTTTTTCTCTGCATCCATGACAATTTGTTTATGCCTACACATTCCACAATAAAAATGTAAATAATTTTATTGAGCCATATCATTGATCATCGGATATGGTACTAAAGGTCTTAATAACATAGACTAACCAACACAAGGGATAATGGTCCATTGACTATGTTTACTTTTACAATCTGTTCTATGAATACATATGAACAATAAGTAAAATTTACTTAAGTTATGAAATAAATCTATATCTGACATTTGAATGTTTGTATACAAATACAGTTCTCATCTAGGCTATTACATTCAATTACAATATTGTATTTACATTTTGTTATAATAATGTTTTGGTAAACAACACATTTGTTTTTATCATCTCTGTAATTCTGTACCAAAATGCCTAAGCAGTAAGTTTAATTTAAATATTCTATTAATTTTGTTTTAATTAGTATACCGGTAATGCTTCTTTGGCTTTGCTTTTCTCTTTCTAAGGCCATAAAATAATAAACTTTTTCTTAAAAGCTGAGATTGTTGACAGTTATTTGTTTCAGTGATGCACACAAACCTACAATGGATTATTGGATGCAAAAGATTGCAATTAACAAAACATCTCAATAATATTGTTTAGTAATGGAGGTTGATTTTTAGTTTTGTGCTCGTACACTTCTTGAGTTCCTAATTATTTTTTGTTGTTTCAGAGTAGCAAGTCAAGTCTCAGTGCTTAGTCGTGTCTCCCCTCCGATGATGTCTGCCTTGGAGATGTCTCTGGAGGAGATCAACTCACACATTAAGTTTGTTCTCCTAATTTTCTTCCTGACCAGCGTAGTAGGGGTGTTCAACGCCTGGCACATTTTAGTTTCCAATTTCTACGCCTTTGTACCGCCACACTGGTGTGCAGTTCCAGAGCTTGAGGCGGCTGGTTGGACAGCCGAACAGATTCAGAGTGTTTCTGCTGTCAAGTAAGCAGTTTATTTTTTGTTAAATATTTTCAAAACTATTCATATATTTTACTAGGATACACGCAATTGTTTGTTATGCTCAGTACATCTAATCTTCCAGTTACATTGGTTCATGGTAATTTTTTAGTTTATCATGTTAGTTGTTAAACCATTGTTTATCACCTGAGCTCTTCTATTTAAGGGGCTCCCTATGAACACGGGGAAATGGGTATGAACTTGTGGGGGGAGGGGGAATGGTTAGTCATGGAAATGAATTAGGAGGGGGAGGAGCTCCAGTTCCAAAATTATATACTAAATGCTCGCTACCGTTTTTTTGTTGTTCCAGTAACACTGAAGGACCAAGCTGTTATTTGATTGGATGGAACTATTCTTTATTTGTAAATTTGGGATACCAACATACTCTAGCCTTCATTGGTAACACTACATTGCTTCCCGACAAAAGACAATGCCATCAGTTCTCTTATGATGAAGTTGTCCCCTACTCAACTGTCGTTAGTGAGGTGAGGATGGATATTTAATGAACCACTTTATACTTTATACTTTTCGATGAAATGGCGACCATGTAAAGTAGGTATTTTAAGTCAAGTATGAATGGAGATAGTATACAGTATTAATTGTCAAATATATATTGTAAAGGTAGGCCTAATGTGTTTGTTAAACGACATCTTAAAATTACTTCTCATCTTCATACTTTAAAAAAGGCAGTTGCTTTACAGCACAAACTCTTAGAATTCACTTTTTAGGAAATCCATTACAGTATATTGACGTTACTATCAATTATGGTCTTACCATTGACTAGTTGTATTAATAGTCAAAGGTCTTACAGTAATCGACGGGCCACATAATAGAAGACTTCCAACTTCCAATAACTGACACAAGTCATAAAACATTTTCAAGGAATTCCACGTTTTTTGGATGAATTAGATATCATATTTTCAGATTTTAAACTGATTGATGGATTTTAAAACAAAACAACAAAAATCTGTACCGGGTCTATGGCTCACTATAAGAGGCCTATGGTAATAACTTAGTCCAAAGCAATGGAAGAAATTAACTTACAAAATAATAGTTACGAGTAAACAGCATTATTTATTGATTTACCTAACTACTTGCAAACCTATAGATACATGAGATAAAGAGGGTAGGTACCTATTTAAATGCTGTTAAGCTATACTTTTTTTCTAATTATGGTAACAATCTGTCTAATAACACTCCACGCAGTCAATTTGTTGTTTTCAAAATACAGTACCGGTACTATGATTGTTTATCTAATGTTATGTGTGTTAATATTTTCAGTGGGATTTAGTCTGTGACAGGAAAGTTCAAAAGTCAAATGTCCAAGGCTCTATTGCATTTGGAAAATTAATTGGAGGACTTGTCACTGGATTCCTAGCAGATATGTAAGAGTAAGCTATGATCTTTCTGTATTTTTTCAAAGTAATTTTTGCAACCATATCCTAACTACTAAACCATACATTATGTAAGTTTTAAACCATACTGGTTCAGATATTTATTTCTTTTTTCTTTCACAAAACAAAAGTACCTATATAATTTAATTATAAGAATAATAGGAAATGATGATTGACGGAACAAATTTTAAAACATCATAAGGCGTCATAATAAGGATTGTTACCTATATTACGCTCTACTATAAAACAACTTAATTTTGAATTATTAACTGTTGTATTTTGTATTTTTAACTGATATTTGTTCTTTTGTATCACAAGTGCAGGTACGGCAGGAAACCTGTGTTCATTGCCTGTTGTATCATCTACTTCATATCAGGGGTTGGGGCAGCTTTGACGGATACATTTTGGATCTTCTTGATTGCCAGATTTTTCGCCGGAGTGGCTGGTGCAGGGTGTTATGAAAGTGGTTTCACACTATGTAAGATTTGTATTCTTTAGTTGTTTGTATATGTTTTGTTTTTTCCTTGTTTGAATCAGTTTTTTTTATTCACACGATGGTAAGTCAAGTGGATATGTTATGAATGAAGTAACTTCATTCATGTGGTTATTAGGTGAGTCGGTGGCTCAGTTGGTAGCGTCGCGTACTTCGGGCCCAAGGCAGCGATGTCGTGGGTTCGGATCCTGGTCACTGTCACAAACTTTTATCAGTACAGTTCACCTTTGTACTGTACCAGCTCACCCCTTGCTTTGCTGGATACGTTCCACGCACAGATCTGTAGTCTATGTGGACGGGCAAATGCAAGGTTAAAAGAGGCCGCCAACCTCTTTTTTAAAAATAAAAATAAAAAAAATAAAACTATTTTTTATCTTTAAGAATTAATTTAACTGCAGAACACTAAACAGAGAATGGGTTTTACCTGTTACCTGTTGGTCACCATTTTCTCCATCTACTAATCCATAATTGATTACAGAGTTATTCCAAATAAACTGATATTATCAATATGAGATTTCTGAAATGCATTATGCTATGTAATGTTACATAAAAAATAATTAACTATGAAATGAGAAGTGAAGTAGGCTATTATAGGTGAGGGTCATCACTGATCTCACTAGAGGTTAAAGCTAATTGATTAGATTGCCAGTGTATTTAAACCATAAGGCCGATTAAAATTTCATTCTTTGAGTGTAAAGTAAAAATAGTCATTGCTCTTTTTGAAAATTTTGAACTATGATGAATCAGTCAGTTTTAATGAAAAATGGGTTCATCTATTGTTGGAGTTAAAACTGTCTTCTTCTTCTTCTTCTTCTTTCCTTTGGAGCTGCCTAATCCTTAAAGGAAAGAAGAAGAAGAAGACAGTTATAACTCCAACAATAGATGAACCAATTTTTAACAGAAGACTCGATAAAAAAAATTATCAATCACTTCAGTATTTTGATGTATAAATTGATAAATAAAACTGTATTTTGATTTGTAAAATGTTATTGTTTCAGTGTCAGAATTTGTAAGCAAGAAGCATCGTGCTACATTGGGATGCTTGTTCAACATGGGCTACCCTATCGGCCACATCACGCTGCCGGGCCTTTCAATGATCTTTTTAAACTGGAAGCACCTTCAGATGGCTATATCTCTTCCTTTGATTATATTTATTTTACATTTCTGGTTTGTATTACTTACTTACTAAAGTTACAGTGTAGAAGAGCCTATTAGGACTTAGGCTCACTGGATCCAACCAAAATTACTGAAGTGAGGAGACAATAGAATAAAATGGCATTGAGATAATGTTATTGATAATTAAAAAAAATTTGTATGGGAATATTTTAAATATTTTGTAAAGTATATTGTTTTGTATGTGTCACAACAAATTTATAATCAAAATTGATTTGTTATGAAGTAGTAGCATTAACTTTCTTACTAGTCATTGGATCTTGGGCTCAAATTAGTGCTTTATAAAGTTCAACTAGTACCAGCAGTTTAAAATTAAATTATCGGTAACTTAATTTTATTTATTGTGTCTTAATGGGACGTTTACTATTTAATTTTTTTACTATTAATGTACTTTGACTGTGTAACTTTGACAGGTATTTACCCGAATCTCCAAGATGGCTTCTTGTCCACAAGAAATCAGAGAAAGCTTGGAAAGTAATAAAAAGATACAGTAAGAACTACGAGGATCATTTGCCGGTTGCTCTAAAAGAAGCTATTGGCCTTTGCCAGGTACGGTAGTGTCTAGGGGTGTCATGATTACAAAAAAGGTCCAACAGACAGTTTCAGATAGAAAATACACCAAATGTACAAGATAAATTGAATTAAATTACAATTTTTTACGTCTCAGCTGACACTTGTTGAATTTAAACATTAGTTTTTTTAGGTTGCATGATCATTCTTCCTGAATCAAACCTTTCTTGGTTGAAAATGCTGTCAGTGAAAGTTCAATACAGTGATTAGCCAGTTTGAAAACACTTCTTATAACTATATGTTATATCTTTTGCTGCCTTAGGACATAAAAAAAACATAAACGCAAAAAGGTAGTTAAATATTTTAAGTGTTGTGTTGTATATAAAGTGTTTATGTTTCTTTTGCCAGGATAAGCTCTTTTTTCAGTTACACACCTGTGATATATTAACAACAAACCTAAAAAAAACTACAGCTCTTAACCCTTCTTATGTTACATCCTTTACATCATTTCAATTTTCTAATTGTTTAAATTTTCAGCCAGCCACCAGTGGATTGGATTCACTCTTGCAAGACATAGACGAATTTATCCCTGGATTTAGTGGTCAAGTAAGACAAGCAGCAGGATCAGGCATCTCGGAGGTTAAAAGTTCAACCTCAAGGTTCAAGGTTCAAGGTTCAAATTCTGCTGTTGAAGTGGACAACATCTCCATTGCAGACAAATTGATGAGCGACTTAAAGGGAATCTTTTTGCTCTTCTCCACGGTTGAGCTTTGTAAAAGGATCACAATTACTATCTTTAGCTTCATAGTGGCATCCTTGGTTTACTATGTGTTAGGTATACAGAATTAAATTATTACTACAGTAGTTATAATTGACAAAAATGGTAGTAAAACTAAATCCCAAAATTTGCCCTGAACTCCAAGTTTTAGGGAGGGGGTGATTTAACAAATAAAGGGTAGAAACTGTTAACACTAGGATTTAAATTATATTTTCAGGATTATAATTAAATAAACAAACTCTCCGCCAACACACCCTTGTAGAGCCCTTGGCTAGGGGTGGAGGGGTGCCTTATAACTTCGTACCTGGTTAAGAGACTTTGCTATGACACTGCCACTTTATAAGTTGTTTTGTTGTGTTTTGAATACCGCCACATCTCTAGGATTAACCTTGAGATTTGTCTGGCTGTACTTAAATGTATTACTTATGCTTTTGATTCAACAATAGTCTTGATTTTACAGCTTTGAACGCCAACAACTTTAAGCTGGACCAACACATGTACACGTTTGTCGCTGGTTGGGTCGGGATACCAGGGTATGTTTTTCCCCTTCTCATCATGCTTTGCATGGGCCGCAAAGGTGCTTCATCCTTACTGTTCCTTTCATCAGGATTGTCTTTAATGATCATCGCTGCTATTCCTAGAAGTAAGTTCCTATACCTTTATATATTTTTACGAAGTTAGTGATGAGGCGCGAGGATCCTCTATTTTAATGTTTATATTTTTGTCATAGAAAGAAACACAACAAGTTTAGTCAGATTTTATCCATAGATATATTTTTGTTGAATAAGAGGCCTACGTATAGTGAGAATAAATTATTTACAATCATTTTGTCAACTCGCAATTCCTTACAATTTTTAAACAAAAATCAATAACCATAACTCATTACTCTGTTTAAAAGTTTATTTTGTTTCTATTTTTTACAGGCCATACGTATGCCATTCTAATCTTAGCTATGATAGGAAGGTTCACAAATGTTGCTGTATTTGGCCTTATTACAGTCTACTGTGCTGAACTATTTCCAACAATTGTGAGAAACTCTGCCATCGGTGTTTCACTTGCAATGTCTCAGCTGGGGTCAATGTATGCTCCATACGTTGTAGATTTACTGGTTTGTAATTTCTTCTTATACAATGTAGTGGGCAAGAAAATTGTTTTTATATTTCAAGCAAACTAACAGAAATTGGTAAGTGTACAAGTTGAAATAAACAACATAATGATATATCTTCATTTTCACGGATGTATGTAGCTAAAGTAACAGTGGTTGAAGAGAATCAAAAATTTTTTATCCTTGTAAAAATTCACAATCATGCAAAATGTGGAAATAAAAGGTATCAAGTAGAAATAATGTCTTACACTGGAGATTTGAGAAAAGCCACTTTTATGTGTGTACATTGAAAGCTTAGTGAAAACATTACAGATACTGTAGTCCAGCAACTATTTAGGGCTTTATGAGAGTCATGAGAACCAAAATAAATCATTATCCCATTTGCCAGAAGCATTTAAAAGTAATGATGTAAGTTAAGTATTAAGGAAAAGGACACAAGAAATATTTTAAATACATCACAGAACACTGCCTTACATAAGGTTTTTATCCTACTGAATGCTATTTTAATATATCTGATACCTAAAGTCAAGTGAGAACTAAACTGTACTATTGAAAAATACTGTTATAGGGTATGGTTCAAAATTTAAGAAAGATACAGCGGGAATAGTATTTTGGCAAAAAACGTGTCCAGTTTTTTCCCAGAAAGAGTAGTTTGAAGCTCCTGGTAAAAGGGCAGTTAATGTGTTAAATAAAACAGTTCTCCCTTAGTTTAACTTTAGTAGTCACATAAAAATTAACTTAGGCAATTGGATATAGACAGGAAATTAATGTAAAAGGCCATTATAACCTTCAGTAGTAATAACACCTTCAAAGTAGTAATAACTCACAAACTGATGTCGGTAGAGGTAGAAGCCAACGGGTAACAGCTACTATAGACATCCCAAGAACAAATCAATTAACCAGCGCAGAAACAAAAAGATGACGTGTGGTTCGCACCGGTAGGTGTGGCATAGCCTTCAAACCTGCGCGGCTCGAAATGGCCCAGGGTTCTTTTGTTTCTGGGATCTCTATAGCCTTTCTATCAAAGTAAAATATCTAATAAGTTTGCTTGTTTTTCAGGGACCCTACGGGTGGCATTTGCCTAGCACTATATGTGGAGTAGCTACCTTTCTTGCAGCATTGCTGATTCTTTTGTTGCCAGAAACCAAAGGAAAGGCATTCTTGAATACTGTAGATGATGTGAAGGAAAGACCTGATAAAGTATCTTTCAGAAATTGCTGCAGGTTTTCATAGTTTTTTTTTTTTTGTAATCTTCCAAATTATGGAGTCACTGTCAAAATAATTTCATACCACACAACAGCTGATGTCTTTCATTGCAGATATTCTGAACTTTTAATAATTGTATATTTTTTCTATTAGACAGTGAAATAATTACTTACTCCCTTGGCCGTAATGATTTCAATATAACATATTTTTTTATAAATATATCCAACCAAATGACTTAAGCTTATTTACTCTACTCAGTGGTCACCAACTCTACTCCTTTACACATTACGCTCTCATGCATGGGACCTGGCCTGGCACGGCCACCTTTAACTCCAGGCCACGGTAGAACTAGCAACGTTGCAACTGCAAGTAGTGTTGTTTAGCACCAGACGTCCCATAAGATAACATGGCAGTCAGGTGACGCCAGCTCATTAATATTAGTCATTTTAATTTAAATTTGTGGAAATAAATGTATCAAAAGATTGAAAATAAAACATATAGAATGGAAAACCAAAACAAACCAAAACAATATAAATTGAAAATCTGTTTCTGTGCATTTAAAATGGAGTCAATATATTCATAGCCCAGTAACCAAGCTTTCGCATTCTAAAAAAACACACAATTTACCATTAGCTGTATCCAAACAAAACAGCTGTAACAACACTACTTACGTTGCCACTTCGAAGAACGCGACCTGGGTTTAAAGGTGGCCATGGACCTGGTCAAGGCTGGATACCTTAAATTTTATGGTATCTTTTTGTCAGTTAAAATGGGCAACTATGTAAACATGCAATATCCCAAGAAAATAAATATGTATACAGTTGATTATATACAATTAACGACTCAGTTGCTTATATCATTGCTTCATTTTGAAGTGTTTTCTTATAAGAATTACTGCAGTACTACAGTTAAATGGTATATGGCCATATGGCTGTTGATACAGTTTTGTAATATCATAGATACAACATACTCCATGTACTATGTTTCTATTCCTCATTATGTAATACATCTCCATTCTCCCTTCCGTTCCACCCGTCGATTTCAATTCAGAGTCCCACTTTCATTGGCACATGCGAATCCGTAACCCACAACATGTGACCCGGTGTGTCTGTTGTAAATTCAATGTGGGTTTATTAATAAACTTTGTGTTACTAATTACACACTTGTCATTAATTATGACCTATAAACATCCCATGTAAGGCGCGCAATGTAGTTGAGGAAGGGAGGAAGCTCGTTTCTTGGGGTTTATAAGGTCACACATGACTAAAGGTCTAAGGCATAGCAACAATTAATTATAGTAAAATATTCATCACCTTTGGAGATTAATTAAATTAGTTTATGTATAATTCATGTATACTTAATACTTTAATACTTTCTTATGAAATGGCGACCATACAAAGTAGGGATTTTGAGCCAAGTACGAATGGAGATGAGTGCGTAGGCTCCCCTGGAAGGGATGGACGGTGCGAGAGTGAAAGCGAATACAGTACATACTGATTCTGTTGTTGTGTTTATCTAGAGCCCTTGGGCAACATTAACATCAGTTCAAATTAATATGAACACAAATTAAAATGTCACCTAATGCATAGATTAAATATTTTGCAATCTATGCCCAAGGCTATTTGTGTAAATAATGACTTTGACCATAGAAATAATTGGTTCATAATCAACTAATTGCGTCATTCCATGTTTATTGCACAAATAACTCAATGATTTATTCGGCCACCCAGCATACAGCAATAGTTTCTGTCACATCAGATTAATCATGAAAACTTCAAACTACACTATCTACTCTACTTGGAATGAGTAAATTTCTGATTCAAATGACTATCTAATTTGTATTAAACAAAATCCTGCAAAGCTTACTATGTAGGCATACCATCCTTCCACCATGTAGGCATACAGTATACCATTCCTTTGTTACAGTATTTAAAGTGATTTCGCGTTTCTTTGACTTTACTCCTTTAATTTGGTTGGCTTTGGGCGGGTTATTGATCAATGACGTAACAGTGTTGGTTTCAGACATTTCTCCTGCAGGTGCTGCTCTCTTTCAATCCTTCAACTAAGTAATTGACGTTTAATTTTGTTGTGTAGTAGTACGTGCAAGTGAGGCGGGGAGTTTGTTCGGAGTGTAGTGCGTGAAATTCTGAACTTTCTTTCTTTTTAGTAGTGAAGGGGAATATTTCCCCCTAAGATTATGATTTCTAGGAAAAACCTCTTTGAAATGTTTGCCGTGTTGTGCTATTGCTTGTTTAGCTTCAGCCAGTTTCTGCATGAAGTAAAGGTAAGTCAAGAATTAGAATCACAACTTCGTTGCCATGCCACCGCCCCCGGATGGTCATTGATTTTTTAAATGTTAAATAAGCTGTTCATACGAACTAATAATTCATCACTTAAACATTGCGCAACATTTTTGGTGGATTCTGGCTTTACAATTTCGTTTTCTTTAAAATATAAGATACTTGTGTTCATAGGAGTCATTCTTCTGCTCTGGCTGGATAGGCTAGGTTTGCTCAGGACAGGGTAACATTGTTTACTTACTACATTCAAAGGTTAGATTATTGGCTACCTGTTTCTAAATAAGGCTGCACTTCAGTTTATGTCCTATACACTCATTCGAATGAAATAATTGATATATCGTTCGATATATTCATTCGAATGAGTGTAGGACGTAAACTAAAGTGCAGCCCTAAAGGGGCTGAATTTAATCGAGAATTTCAATTTAATTCAATTAAATGAGTTGAATACATAGGCCTATTTTATCCTCCTAACGTAAATGGTTTGAGATTAAATGATAACTGAGATCAGCAATGCTAGTAGAAGGGCCTCTAGGTTGTCTCAACAAAATACTGTATGATCTAGGGGCCTACTTAAAACGATTATTTTTGTTGAACTTAATAACAGTACCATTACTAATAGGTAGATTACCAGTAGCTTACCTTACAAACCCCAAGTTATAAGTTATCGGTACCGTACTTAACCCGCGAGAGGTCTTATCTAGCTGTGGAAATGATCGGGTTTGTACTTTTTTGCGTTAAAATTGTATTTATTGGTAGCCGGCATTGTCAGCCTTTACTGTGCATAACACACCACATTCCAAGAACACCGTGACCTATTTTTTACCTCCCCTTCCTTATTTCAGTCTAGCGACAGATTTTTGTCATGTACCGTACTGGTTGATTCCACCTCCACCGTTTGCGTCTCCTCGTGTTTTCAAATTACCTGTCAATAAGACTGTTTGCAACTCCTCGTGGTTTGTACATTATCTTAATGCTTGTTTTTCTTTTAATTTTTGATTGGCTTACTTAAATAGGCCTAAGTTACAGTTTAAATTCACTAAGTTAGTATTAGGTTACCAAATTGTGTGCTGGGCCACAGATAAGTATTTATGTGCCTACCTCTCGGTGGCTAGATATGGAATTTAACAAGTAGGCCTAAAGTAACTTAACTTAAATAGGATTGGTTGGTCAATCGTCATGTTGAGAGAAATGAGGATGTTGAATGTTTAGTGATGCTTGTAGGATACCGTACTGTACTGGTATTTTCTAAGGTTGGTACCTTTTTAATAGGCTTACCATTGATGAGAGAGGCAAAAATATTTATGAGAAAGACGAATTTTAAGCTAAAAATGTAAAAAAATTTAATCTTGACAAGATGATGATGACTTAGATAATTAGGCCTAGTCTTTATAAGGTTGCACTTTAAGTTTTGTTTGCGTCCTACATTTACTATTATACATTAACGACCAGCTGATTATAAAATTAAACTGTTTTAAACTAAACCTAAACCAAACTGCAGTATGTGAGTAAATGTAGGACGTAAACTAAAGTGCAGCCCTATATAAAACTGAAATTTTTAGTGAACAATGTTTTTAAATAAATTGGCCTAGACAACACAACACAGTTTTCTTGTTATTCATTTATTTGTCATTTAAATAGATAAATAAAAAATGTTGAGGCATTATTGAGTTATGAAGTGGTTTACACTAAACAAACAATGCAAGGTGTATGATTTTATTACAACTGACCATTTTATGTGTTATCATCTCAAACATATTCAGAAGGTTGTAACTTAAATGACATGTTTTGGAAAATGTTTACCATTTTGGATTTTGAGCAATTACTATTTAATGCTTACTGAAATGAACAAAATGCTCGAACTAGGCTACTCAAAATTACTTGATGCTCGAAAAGACCGTGTGTGTCTCCTCGCATTTCCAATTCAGTGCGACCTGACCTCTGCCAAATTAACCTAGAGAAAATACTCATTAGAATTGGCTACTCATATAACTTGGTTGTCTAGTAACTTAACATAGACTTAGCCTAGCCTACTGGATAAAAAGAATCTAAGTCAGCTTGTAACATATCCTGGTTACTAAAAACTGACTACTTCCAGATGAAGTTTTTACATGTAGGCCTAAAGTGGGGTAAGTGTAGGCTTACGCCCCAAACCGCATAGGTAGTAGGCTACTTAAAAACAACTTTGACCAAAAATTAAAAAAAACACATGTATGTGCTACCTATAGGCCTACAAATCAAATTTTCTGAGCTTATTCTTTGAAATGTTTTGTATAACTTATGTGGTTATTTTGTAAAAAATTTGAATTTGGTGCGTTTTTTGTAAAATAATGTTTGGGGTGTACACTTTCCCATTGATCTGGAGTAAGTGTGCACACCCCCCCCCCCTTATTGTAGGTTTCCTTTGCATATTACTTGATGTTGGATTGTAGAGGGGAAAATTAGTTTTTTTATTATTTTTTATTCATCAAAATATCTCAAACGGTTTAGGAGTCGTCAACTTTTTTGTGAACCTCCGCAAGGTAAAACGGAAACTCCAGCTTTATTAGATACCTAGTCTAAAGAAAATAAAAACCTTATGATTCCACTATTTCATTGAATTAACAATTACTAAGTTTCAAAGAGCAGAAAATGAGCTTAATTTTGGGTTTCCATTAATACAAATATCTTTTAAAAACTAGGTACCACAGTAGTTAAGAGTTTTTGCCCTTGAGGGCAGTTAAAGCTTAAATTATATAGGCCTAATTTAACTTGTACTTTAAAAATAAATTTTTTTACCTGTATAATCCTTCCTAGTCGTTAATATATTGAATAATGGATCAATAAACTATATATGAAGACATGTTTAAATAAATTGTTTGTGTTAATTTTTGTGTGCGTAAATGTAAATTGTGAACATATCGCCTTATTATCAAACAATTAATTAGTGTTATTTGATTATTAGTATTTGGTTCTAGTCCCTATACCTGGTATTTGACTGGTGTATGAACAAACTCTTTTCAAAAATTTCATAAATAGGCTAACATTGGAAAAAGACATTTTCATTAAAAGATAAAAAAATATGCGTAAGTTACTTAGTTTGTCCTTAATCACTTGTTCTAATTAAAACTACAGCTCTGTTTACATTTATTTATTTGATCATTCTCAAACATATTTAGTCATAAACCATAACTTAAAACTTTTTTGCCATGTTATATTCAATCTCTGTGTAAGAGAAACTATGAAAGTTTATTTGTACTTATATCAAGACACAATAATTGTACCTAATATGATCAGTAAGTTCTGTTTAGGAGTTGCGCTCAAAGCTTTATCGACTACTAGTTTAATAAATTATGATAAACTACATGTATTAGTTAGTCGTAACAGACTCTACTGTCATTTAATTTTCTTTCTGAACAGTTAGTTTATCGGTTTTAGTCTTAACACACTAAGTGCTGGTGATGCATACATGTTGGTTCTGAACAAATAACGACCTGCAAGCGAGAAAGGAAATAAGTTAAGAGATGTAGAGAGCTTGAGCTGTCGACAGCCATTGCTATTGATTCCACTGCGCGTATTACGTCCTGCAGCGTCTTAAATGTGTTCTACAATTTACGTGAAATATTTTTGAAGACCTCGAGGCTTGTATATTTAGGATCTCTAAGTATAGACCTAACATGTTGGTGTACGGAATGTTGCTTTATAATTAAGAATCCAAAACTATTTCACCTGTAGCCTTACTTAAGTGTATATATCGTTTTAATATTTAAGGCTATATTAATTTACGTGAAATATTTTTGAAGACCTCGAGGCTTGTATATTTAGGATCTCTAAGTATAGACCTAACATGTTGGTGTACGGAATGTTGCTTTATAATTAAGAATCCAAAATTATTTCACCTGTAGCCTTACTTAAGTTTATATATCGTTTTAATATTTAAGGCTATATTATTTTAAAACTCTAGGTAAATTAGATGTTTTTACAACAAACTCTCAATAATTAATGCAGTTTTTCTATCTATAGGAAATAAAATAATTTAATGAAACATTTTAAACAAAGTACCTGGGGACCGGGCTTTGCTCGGAAAAAATCATGAGTATATTCTGAGAGCAGTCTTTGGTTAATGTCCAGCGATTCGTCGACGCTTCTGCTCAAGATGATCGGCCTGTTGTTCATCATTGATCGACCAAGATCTGAAATTATTTCTCTTCTTTTATTCTTCGATGCGCGACGTGGCCGAGGCTCTGAGACATTTGGTGAGATTGATGTATGATTTGGTTAGAACTTGGTTGGTTGTAGACAAAATGGTAAAATTTGTTTCTGACAATCGGTTGTAGCTTCTCTCCCTTGCAGATGCTGTATATATTTTCGCTTTGGAGGTCTTCCACGTTTCATTCCTTGAAAATTAACCTTGAAAAAATTTAACACAGATATGTACCTAATAAACCATTTAACTATAACTGTATTCTTAAAAACGTTTAGTCCAAACTAAGGCCAGGCGCACACAGGCGATTTTGAGTCTAGCAACAGTTGCCCAACTAATTGGGGGACTGTTACGCACCCACTCGGAGACTCTGAAGTCTAGCGACAGTTGAGCTGGAGTTGGACATTACATTCGTTAACAGTGTTAATAGTACCGAATGTATTTCAATGATGCAGCCGTAGTATGGGCTTTGTTGTTGAAGTTGAGATCTTTGATTTTATCCTCTTGTGTTAGGTTGTTCCAATCTTTAGTAACTGCCAAGGACACTTCATCCCACAACTTCTTTAAATTAATATCCGAATAGTCTTTCAATGACTTTAAATATAAAGCGGCCTCTTCTCAACTTCATCAATTAATTGTTTGACATACTCATCACAGACACTCATACTTAAGTAATTTTCCAAAAACTTCACACAACAAAAAGAGAGCAAACACTAGTTACAGTACTGGCCACAAGTACAGTAGTTAAATTCCTGGGGTGAGACTGAGAGACACAGCGACAATTTAGTCGCATGTGTGCGCGTC